AGGGTTTTCATAGTTTACATATGTAATCCTTGTGACAAGATCTTCCTTTGGATACCAACCACTTTGACCCTTTGACCTTGACATAGGAGTTTGACCTACTTTTGAAAAATTTTAACCTTGACCATAACTTTTGAAAAGTTTGTACTAGGGCTTTCATACTTCATATATGTATTCCATGTGACAAGACCTTCCTTAGGATACCAACCACTTTGATCCTTTGACCTTGACATAGAAGTTTGACATACTTTCGAAAAACTTTAACCTTGGCCATAACTTTTTAATGGTTGGTGCTAGGGCTTTCATACTTCACATATGTAATCCTTGTGACAAGACCTTCCTTTGGATACCAACAACCTTGACCTTGGCCTTACTTTTAAAAAAACTTTTACCTTCGCCATAGCTTTTGAACATTTGCAGCTAGGGCTTTCAAATTTCACAGGTATATTCCTCGAGACAAGACCTTTCTTTGGGTATCAACATTTTTATCTTTTGGCCTGGATTTTGACTTGCATTTGTGAAACTTAACCTTCGCCATAAGCTGCCATACGGGGGTATCAGTGTTTCACAAACACATCTTGTTTTCCTTAACACTGACACAAAACTTTATCTGAACACAAAATGATCTTCTCCATATACAGTCTTTTACAAGTCCCTTTTATCCAAATGTCTTTGACTTTACTAAAGGCAGTCTTTAAGATAGTTGCCATTTCAGTATGACATGTGTTTATTTGCTTTTTGTACACAAACGAAATAACGGAATATTTTGCACCAGTGTTATGCACTGGCGCATCCGTGCGAACAATATAAGACCATTCAGTACTTGTGTGTTCTAAAGATTGATTTTTTAAAAAAAAAATAAAAATGCTTTTGCTTTAAACCTGCTATGAACTATATAATGTCATCAAAATTTATTGGTAGAAAATCTCAAAATTTCTTCTCAAAAACATTTGGGACATGAAAAGTCATTGATATGCAACCATCTCCAGGAATTGACCTCAGGGGGTAGGGTGGGGGCCACAATATATTTTTCTTATTATTTTGAAACTAAAAGGAAGCAATCTTTAAATAATCTCTTCTCAACAGGACCATAATTAGACATATTTATATGCAAACATACTCAGATAATGCAGACAATCATTTTTCCCCAGGGAAAGGGGTTGGGCAACAATAGTTCATCGATTTTTTAAAATTATAAATGGGGTAGGGAATCTTTAAAAAAAATCTTTCCACATCATTTCAATGCAATCATCCCTTGATAGTACAGATTCAGATTTATTATTTTCTATAGGAGTTTTCTATTCTCTACTTTCAAATCTGCTTTCTAGACACAAGAGTTCGACTCGTTGGAGGAAACACTCCCTATGAGGGCAGAGTGGAGGTTTATCACAATGGAGTATGGGGGACAGTTTGTGATGATTATTTTCAATTCAATGCCGATGGTTCAAACAACAGTTTCTCCGAAGTTATATGCCGATATTTAGGCTTTCCGTGGTATGTTGTTAAAGAATATGTTTATAAATGTAAATCGGATCGGTTGTTTTTAATGTTCATGTCTGGCATCAATATTTCAATTAATTTTACATTCTATAAAGTAGAATTAAATAAAAATTGAAGTTTGAAATACGAATACAATTTGAAGAACATAGTCCTCTTCCATTTTTTTTTATATGAGATGCATATTTTACTGTTCAGATCTGCGACTAAAAGTCATGTTAAAAATTTACAAAATGAAACTAACAAGTTAAAGATGATGATTAGACTATAAAACTATAGTAAGTTAGCTCATATAAGACCTTAAATCCTAAGGCAAACATCAGTGAGCATTTGCTGTGCACGTTATGGGGAAGGAACTGGTCCTATTTGGCTAGATGATGTACAGTGTAGTGGAAATGAAGCAAATATTGAGGATTGTCAACATATTGGTTGGGGTAACCATAATTGTGGACATCATGAGGATCTGTCTGTCAACTGTGCATCAGAGGAGGGTATGATCTGTTAAAAAAACAAAGGCCGGTCAAAACTGAGTGGTATTTTAGGGCATAATTTTTAAATTCCGTAATACTTTGTGCTTAAGAAGATTGCTGCATTTCTAAATTTAGTGTAAGGCAAATGATAAGGAATAACAATATTGTCAAAAATTGTGACATTAGATCTTGCTTTCCTTATCCTCAGCTAACATATACATGTATAATATGATGCAATTCGACGTAAAGTTTTACAAGAAATACTGAAAAACAAGGCTTCTTTACTTCATAAAAGTGCAAATAGTTTTGAAACGGCTAGTTTTCTTGTAGCTCAACTGATTCGAAAGCTTTAATGGGCTTTGATCATGACCATGCATGGGGTATAGACTTTCTAGAATGTCGGGGTTGTTTTTGTACACTCGTTTATATATCACATCCTCGTATTTCAACAATGCTTTACTCCAAATCTGACTCTATATTTTATCGGTATTTTGTATTGATATATTTGAAGTGTCAAATCCACTGAAAAGAGGTGGCGCCTTTTTTGATAATGTCAGTCCCCGAGATAACTTTTTGCATCAAGAATTTCTACACTTCAAAAGAAATCATTTGAATTAATTTTACATTTCAAAGATCGAATAAGGTTTGTGCTCTCCAAATGCCCCCTTATTTTAGTGCAATGCATCGTGTGGATTGAAATTCTTAACTGAACATATCTTACATACACTAAATATATTTTATTATCTAGCTGTTATTGTTATTCCTGGCATGATTATAATTATATAGAAACCTCAACAGTTTCCACATCCATATCAACAGCACCTGTTACAACAGAAACAACCCTAGGGACTACAAGTGAATGGTGGATGCCAGGTACGCAATCGGTTTTGTGAGAATTTACGTCAGTTTCCATTAAGTTCTTTGCAATCTGGTTATTTCTATAAAAAAAAAGAAAAAAAATCTAGGAGAAATACCAAAACAATCTTTAACTCTAGAAGTTTCAATCTGGGTAGATATCAGCCTAGTTTGTCATCTGTTTACAAATGTTCGTTCTTAACATAAATCTCCAAAAGTGTAGTGAAAATTCTTAAGTTTTTGTGTTTTTTCACACTTCATTTAAGTGCATATGTAATATTAATGATTTACATTCTGATAAAAAAAAATGCATTGCATTTGCTTTGAAATTGTGATAGGTTTAGAAGAATTATTTAATCCAAATCGTTTTTGTGTAAGTTGTCATCAAATTTCCTTCTTTACATTATACTTCTTCAATCTCTTTATCCTATATTTTAACAGTTTCAATGATTGCTGTGAAGTTATTTTTTTGTTATAAACACATATTCTATTTGAAAAAAATGTAGATAATTTATGAAATTGAAGAAAACACAAAATTGATTACTTCCCCAGTTTGGAAACTTTTCCATGTTATACAAGTTTGCTTTTGTTCAGTCACTCCCATTCGTCTTGTTGCTGGAGAAACCCCTTACAAAGGGAGGGTGGAGGTATATCACAACGGAGAATGGGGGACTGTTTGTGACGACTCCTGGGATAACCAAGATGCTGCCGTGGTCTGTCGATCTCTTGGGTTTTCTGTGTACGTAAATATAAATATAAATAAAAACAACTTTTAGGCTTACCTAAGTAAAAGGATCATATGAGCTTTTCTGATTGAAGGATGGCAAGCTGTCATCTGTTGTGTGTAGTCTGTTATGTTTTTTTTCACTTTCTTCCTTTAAACCAACTTATTTATTTCAACCAAAGAACAAGTGCACTTATGGGCCCCGGTGGAAGATGAAAAAATGATTCAAATTAAGCATAATTTTTCATCTCATTTCATCAAATGATATCTAAACTATAAGATTCGACGAATTTCAGCGGTGAAATTCATGTTTATACAAAGAGAAAAGTCATACTATATGGTAGGGGTCAGCCGACATTTGTGATTTTCTATAGTAAATCGAGGACAGGCATTCATTTAAAAGCCTTTGTTTATCTTCAGCCTAACATTGTACAAACTTGCGCCAAAGATTGAAGACGCATTATACATTTATAAAACTTGTGTGAAAGTAGGAAATTTGTACAACATTAGGCTGGTACTTAAAATATTAAAAATGTACAAACGATTCAATGTTTTTCTATAGCAAGCGAGAGTTACTGACCTGTGTGACCTTTGGTGAACCAAAATATAACTAGTTTATATAGTCACGTGAGTTCTACCAGGTTAACATTCCTCAAAAGTGTTCATCGTAAAAACAGCCACGTTTTATATCATTCGCCAAAATCGTGCCGCTTTAGAGATGTTTGCATGTACGAGGGGTTATCAAAAAGTTCGTGGACTAGCGCCATAAAATTAAAACCGTCTTAGGTACATCAATGAATTTTTACACATATAGTTAGCATAATCTTTCTTATCTATAGAATAAATCATGAATCATAAGTTTTATTTTTTTAATAAAATGTTAACACATATTGTAAGCAATGGTATGTCCAGTCACGTCGAAAAGTGACGTTGATCATGTGTGGTAGAAATTAAACATCAACAAGGTAAGTATTCGGGCAAAATCAAGTGAGGATCTTTCTCTGTGTATAGATCCATATACAATATTATTTGCATTGAAAGCAGCTGTGCATGACATTGTAAAGTCATATAAACAAGACGGGCTTAAGTCCTTATTTACCTCCAGGTAATCTCATCAAGATAACTGTATGAGGTAGGGACAATGAGAAACAATGACGCTGTCGGACGTCATGAAACTAAACGGCGACAGCCCGGGTGATCATTTAATGTCTCTTTTATTTTAGATTAATTTGGCAAATTATCAACGTATCAAGCTAAAATTTTCAACTTTTCTTAAACTATTATTGTTTTATATTCCTTATAAATTTTGTAAGCAAAGACTACATAGTATTAATTTTATCGCATCAGTCCACGAACTTTTTGATAACCCCTCGTATTTGGTTTTATGAAAACACGGGGGGGGGGGTAAATAGAGTTTAGTGTCGTTTAAAATGTCATTATATATTAAAATTTCAAACAATTTTAAGACGATGGTACCGGTATTGAAAGCCATGATATTACGCAGTTATAAATAAATACAATAGATTACATGCATGATTGTTATATATGATATCAGGATAACCTATTGAGCGTCAAAGATTGTCTCCAATGGGTTTCTCAAAAATACAGATGGAAACAATAATTAATCAACAATTGTTTCAAGTTAATTATTACAACCCTAAATGAAAATGATTTGCACAAACTTTTTGACTAATTGTTGTTACTTATATATTCAAATCTACTGGTTTTAAATAACATCGATAACAAACATAAACAAATAAATCAAACTATGTTCTTAAATGGTTGCGCAGCAGAACAGTTCACTCTATACACTTTAATGCCCTTTTGTAATTTTAAATTGATAAAAAAAATTAATATGTTGATATTTATTGTTTTATTTTAAATGTAATCGTGCAAAATTCTTGGTTTGATCACTTTGGCTTCAGGAAACTATACAGCTTCTTTCTTTTTTTTTTATAGATAAAAAACACAAGGTGTATGATTCGGCAAACGCTCACGTCGATTATCCACCACCAGATTGTTCAAGTGCCCATTTAAATGTCTCCTCCCCCTGATTTAAATAGACGAAACTCAAATAGGTTCGGTACGACTTTTCCGGATTTGGGGTAACTATAGGCATTTAAAAGTCCCCAGTTGTTTAAAATCTAGCCTGATTTAGGATATGTATAACGTGATTTTAAATTAAATATTCACAAGTGTTAACTATTACCAACAGATAAGGATTTGGTGATATATTCTGTACTAAAACGGCACTGAAAAAGGGCCCGTTCTCTCTTGCTTTAGTGCACTTGTCCTTTACCTCAAAACATCCTAGAATGGAAAGTTTCATGTTTGATCAAATAAAAAGACATGCCTTCTTTTAAAAGTTCTTGTTTAAGAAACGTAAAAAATATAGAGGAATCATTCAAAAATTACAAGAACCACCAGAACCCCCCCCCCCCCCCAAAAAAAAAATAAACTTATGTGAAAGCTTCCTCATATACTGTATAGTGAAGACAAAGGTTTATTTTAATTACGGCCTACTTTATATTTTGTTCATCCTGACTTGTTTTTCTATGCACAGAAGCCACAACGTTTTTCTTGACCTATCTATCTTGCATGTATTCAAGACCCCTGGATTCAGGTATCAAGCTCTTTTTGGGTTTTACTTTTGTCAAATATTAAATATACTCGTGAAAAAAAGACACGCATGGTAAAATTTTAGTGTCACACTGACCATAAAGATGATTAGTAGGATGATGTATTGATAATAAAGAAATGTGGTAAATAATAGATCTACAATGAAAATTCATAATTACTCAAGAATTTTACGTAAACAGTTCAAGGTCATTAAAGATCAATATCTGGTATGCCCCTACAGACAACAATGATAACCTAAAACGTTATTCCGATGGATGCAAAAAAAAAAAAAAAACTGCATGGGGATGCTATCTCACTCTAAATGTAGAGCTTTGATCAGCTGCTGCAGAGTGTTGGGATGCCATTGTATTTGGCGGATATGCCTATCTATTTTGTCCAATGCATGCTCTATCGGGTTTAAATCTGGAATTAACATGGCCATAAGCGAACAGCATGCTGTGGGCTTGCAACTATGCGATTGTCAAACAAGCCGTATATGTGGCTGTGTATTGTCAAATTGAAATGCAGCTCCAGGATGCTGCAATATAAAATGACCTCAAAGTACATTATATCTTTGCAATTTTTCTTCATTTATGCACTGACACCAAGTAGTAGATTTTTTTTGTGAATGGCTATAATGAGAGCCTTCTACAAAACATATAAATTCCATGCCCTCCCTGCAGGTCAAGGGGTCAAGTCTCATTGACCATTGTTGGTTTAAAGTTGGTCACGTACTAAAATTTATTGTATATTGTACCTTATTTTCATAACTACCCTAGAAGACAAGTGCAAGAAAATGACAATGATCTTATAGCCGTCAACAAATTGTATCACGTTTGTTACATGAGTAGTTTAGAGTTTTAGTTCTGGGTAGGACCAAAATGGTTATAACTTGAAATTCTCATGACACCCTGGTGATTGTCAAGACTCATGGTCCTATTTAATTGTATGATTGTCTGTAAATTTAGTTACCAAATGAATATATCCTGTCTATAAGGTTTTGCGTTTATCATTTACCGGATGTTGCATGTATAAATGAGTTTTTAATCAGGTTTTGTATCGTGCATGAATTCTATCATGTCGTTTATCATTTCACGTTAAGGCCACAAGTATTGTACCATTAACATGATTGCTAACAGTGCTTATTCGAAACTTTACAACATGTAAAACACACATGTACATATGTAAAATATGAAATAGTTTCCAAACCTTCTTGATGGCTTTTACAGAATTCTCATCCTTAATTTTTTTCAAAGATTCAGATTATAATCAAGGGGGCCTCATTGAGAGTTTTGCTGTAATTTGCTTTTGGAAATTTCTATATTGGAAGTTCAAATTTCTGCAAAGTGCTGAATTTGCAAACGCATGTATCCTGTTTTAATGCATTTCAGTCTTAAGTTAACGATAGCAAAATTTAATAAATCGCTTTTTCTTTACAGAATGAATTCAGCAGCATTTGGTAATGCATATTTTGGTGAGGGAAATGGCTCTATTTGGATGGATAATGTTCACTGTTCTGGTACAGAGGCAAGAATTGAACAATGCCATCATAACGGGTGGGGACATCATAATTGTGGCCATCATGAAGATGCGTCTGCCATATGTCAAGCTGGATTGTGTAGGATCATTTTTTAAATTGATAATTGTTAATTGTGTGGTGGTATCTCCTAGTAACACTTTCCATATAAGCCTCGTTTATGTTGAGCTCTAAAATGCATCTAGAAATATAATAGTTTCAGATTCCGGAATGTTTTTATCTAATATTCATAAAATAAGTGAGATTTGTTTTTAATGCTTACTTTTCACACAGTCAGTCCAGTGCGGCTTATGGGAGGACAGACTCCATACGAGGGTAGAGTAGAGATATACCGTAATGGAGTATGGGGAACAGTTTGTGATGATGCTTGGGATGATTTGGATAGTGTGGTGGTCTGTAGGTCTCTGGGATATCCCACGTGTGTATATTCTTTTTTTTGTATAGCCAAAACAGCCACATTGCACACATACCAAACTATAAAAATTACTATTTAACTACTCAGTATCTTATTTTTCTCTCTTTTGTTCATATTGAAATGTTTTTTTTCAAAAATATAAACACTTCAAATTAGATATTATAGTTATATTGAGACACTGAAGCTGCCATGCAAAAAATGCATAAAAACAATAATTCGTCATGATTATATTTCCTGTCTTTGTTTGTTTGTTTGTTTATTGTTTAACGTCCCTCTTGAGAATTTTCACTCATATGGAGAAGCCACCACTTGCCGGTGGAGAGCTGTAATAAATTACCCTTCTACATGAAAATATGACCAAAAAATCGTACATTTATGATTTAATGCTTTTTACGTCCCATTCGAGTATTTCTCACGCATATAGAGACATCACCATATACCGGTGAAGGGCTTCAAATTTACACCTTTATTTGGTACTCCGGGCCATTTAGCAGTGAGGGTTTTTTATCGTGCCAACGCCTGCCATGAAACGGGACCTCGGTTTACATACGTTTATATCATATTCAATGTATTTTGAATGAATATCTTTTAGAAAATTTATACAAACTATGCATTGTGATAAGAAATGTTGCTGATGACTGTTAGGTATATAATGACCTTGAAGTGTGTTATGACCTTGACTTAATGTCTGGTTCATATATTGAATTTTAGACAAAACGCTCAGAGCTTTGGATCTGCTTTTTTCGGTCAAGGATCGGGTCCTATTTTGTTAGACGATGTAAATTGCCATGGATCAGAGACAAACATCGAGGAGTGTCCACATAATGGATGGCAAACTCATAATTGTGTCCATCAGGAAGATGCTTCTGTCAGATGTTCAGAGGGTAAAATGATTTTAATTCGAATTCTTTATTCCATTAACAAGTCGCAGAATAAAAGAATCTATTCATGTACTTACATGTATATGGTCATATATTGCATCCACATTTCTAGACATCAGGGACCTTCTGCTTTCCGTTTTTAGCCGTTGTTTTGCGTCAAACATTTTGAACATTTTTTACTTTTTCTCAAGAAGAACTGAACTAATTTGGATATAAAAGATCTACGGGTAAAGGAGAAATAATTATGAATTTAATGGTCTCCCCTTTCTGCAGTATAAAAGATGGGGTCGAACCTGTCAAAACTAATGCAATATATTTTTTTTAATTTTGGACATCACGAGATCCTGTCTATCAACTGTGCACCAGAAGAGAGTATGATCTATAGAAAAAACACGAAGGCCAGTCGAAACTGGGTAGTATTTTAGGGCTTAACCTTTAAATTCCATAATACTTTGTGCTTATGGAAGATTGTTGCATTTCTAAATATAGTGTAAGGCAAATGATAAGGAATAACATTATTGACATACATCTGACATAAGATCTTGTTTTCCTTATCCTCAGCTAACATATATAATGATGCAATTCGACGTCAAGCTCTACGGAAAATAAGGAGAAACAAGGTTTTTTACTACATAAAATTTTTGAAACGGCTTTTTTTTCTTGTAGCTCATCTCAGCCTAAAGCTAAAATGAGCTTTGGTCGTGACCATGCATGGGGGTATAGACTTTTTAGAATGTCGGGGTTTTTTTGTACACTCTCCCCTCCAGGTATTTCAACGATGCTTCCCTCCAAATCTGATTCTGTATTATATCAGTAATATGCTATTAATTTATAATTAAAGTGCCAAATACACTGAAAAGATTAGGTGTCCTATTTGATAATATCAATCCCCCATATATCTCGCCGCATCAGGAATTTCTACACTTCAAAAGAAATCATTTGAATTAATTTTATATTTCAAAGATTGAATTAGATTTGTGCTCTCCAAATTCCCCCTTATTTTAGTGTAATGCATCTTGTAGATTGAAATTTTTAATTGAACATTTCTTACAAACGCTGTATATATTTTATTATCTAGCTGTTATTGTTATTCCTGGTATGATTATAATTATATAGAAACCTCAACAGTTTCCACATCAACAGCACATGTTACAACAGAAACAACCCCAGGGACTACAAGTGAATGGTGGATGCCAGGTACGCAATCGGTTTTGTGAGAATTTATATCAGTTTCTATTAAATTTCAGTTCTTTGCAATCTGGTTAGTTTACCAAATACAAAAAAGTCAATGTTTTTAGCAGAAAAAGAATAAAATATTTAACTCTAGAAGTTTCAATCTATCTCTACATCAGCCTGGTTTGTTATCTGTTAAACAGATGTCCATTCTTAACATAAATCTCCAATTCTGTGGTGAAAATTCTTTGGTTTTTGAGGTTTGTCATCTGTTAAACAGATGTCCATTCTTCACATAAATCTCCAGTTGTGTGGTGAAAATTCTTTGGTTTTTGAGCTCACTTGAGCTGAATGCTCATGTGTGCTTTTCTGATCACATTTTGTCCGGCGTCCGTCTGTCCATTCGTCTGTAAACTTTTCAAATTTTCGACTTCTCCAGAACCACTTGACCAATTTTAACCAAACTTGCTACAAAGCATTCTTGGGTGAAGGGAATTCAAGTTTGTTCAAATGAATGGCCGCGCCCTCTTTAAAGGGGGAGATAATTAAGAAATAGTGAGAATTTGGTGACATCATTTAAAAATCTTCTTTTCAGGAACCACTGGGCCAGAAAAGATGAAACTTATTTGAAACCTTTATTGTGTAGAATCAAGTTTGTTCAAATCATGACCCCGGGGGTAGGGTGGGGCCACAATAGACGATCAAAGTTTTACATAGGAACATATAGTAAAAAATCTTCAAAAATCTTCTGAAGAACAACAAAGCCATGATTAGTCATATTGACATAGAAAACATGCTCAGGTAGTGTAGATTTAAGTTTGTTCAAATCATGACCCCTGGGGGTAGGGTTCGGGCCACAATGGGGGATTAAATTTTTACATAGGAATATATAAGGAAAAATCTTTAAAAATCTTTTTCTGAAGAACTACTGGGCCAGAAAAGTTGAAACTTATCTGAAACCTTTATTACATTGTGTAGATTCAAGTTTGTTCAAATCATGACCCATGGGGGTAGGTCGTGGCCACAAAGGACGATCAAAGTTTTACATAGGAGTGCATCAGAAAAATCTTTAAAAATCTTCTTCTCAAGAACAGCAAAGCCATGATTGGTCATATTGATATAGAAAACATGCTTGGGGAGTGGAGATTCAAGTTTGTTCAATTCATGACCCCTATGGGTAGAGTGGGGCCACAATGGGGGATCAAAGTTTTATATAGAAATATATAGGAAAAAATCTTGAAAAATCTTCTTCGCAAGAACAGCAAAGCCTTGATTAGTCCTATTGATTTGGAAGGATCCTCAGGTTGTGTAGATTCAAGTTTGTTCAAATCATGACCCCCCCCCCCCCCGGAATAAGATGGGGCCACAATGGACGATCAAAGTTTTACATAGAAGTGTATCTGAAAAATCTTTAAAAATCTTCTTCTCAAGAACAGCAAAGCCATGATTGGTCATAATGATATAAAAAACATGCTTGGGTAGTGTAGATTCAAGTTTGTTTAAATCATGACCCCTGGGGATAGTGTGGGGCCACAATGGACCATCAAAGTTTTTCTTAGGAACATGTAGTAAAAAATCTTTAAAAATCTTCTCCTGAAGGACAACGAAATCATGATTGGTCCTATTGATATGGAAGCATCCTCAGGTTGTGTAGATACAATGGATAGGGTGGGGCCACAATGGACGATCAAAGTTTTACATAGGACAACATGTAGGACTATATCTGAAAAACATCTCAAGAATGGCAATGCCATGATTGATCATATTTATAAAGAAGCATCCTCTGGCATCCTCAGACATTCAAGTCTGTTGAAATCATGTTCAAATCATGACTCTGTGGGTAGGGCGGGGCCACAAAGGACAATCAAAGTTTTACATAGGAGTTTTACATAGAAATACATCGGAAAAATATTTTAAAATCTGCTCAAGAACAGCGAAGCCATGATTGGTCATATTTATATTGAAGCATCCACAGGTAGTGTAGATTGAAATCATGACCCCAGGGAGTAGGGCGGGGCCACAATGAATGATGAAAGTTTTACATAGGAATACATATTAGGATAATTCTTTAAAAATCTTCATTTCAAGAACATCAAAGCAATGATTGGTCATATTGATATGCATCTTCCCAAAATCAAGGGTTTCTGATTCACACCGCTCCACAAGTTTTGACGCGGTTTACTATCGTCTAGTGAGATTACACATTTTGAACTCTGCTGACCTCTACTATTGACCAACCAGAGTAAACAAATTATACAGAAAATGCGAGACAATATTGGAAGTCGGTAATAAAGTCAGCTAAATTTAACTAAAAAACTGAAACAAGTCTTTCACTGGGTTATTTAATGGTAATCACATATTTGTTAGGACTAAAACTGGCATGTTTTTCTAATTACGATCTAGTTTCAGTTTAAATAAAACAATGTTTTTGGTCAAGGGTTTGTGTGAGCAGAGCAAAGGCACTTGGAAATCCCCCTTTCCATTTCTTATTCTTTTTAAATGTGGGATTGAAACACCTTTTTCCTATTTTTGTATTCTAATGTGCACTGTATTTTATCGATAATGTACATGTAATCCTTTTCTCACAATAAACTGTTTTTAAATATATCATTTTCAACTGATACATAAAAAGAGAGAAGGCTTGCAACTTTTTTTCTCGTCATCCGGATCACCTCGCTCAAACTTGGCGTGATTATTTATCGAAAGCAAAACAAAGCACGGAATTTGCATACATTAATTAATTTGTTACACTTTGTTCTTCTTTTTCATATTTCCATTTCATTTTTAAGTGCAACCGATTTGTAAATATATTGATTAAATCAGTCACATATCTAGGGTAAATTTTGTTCATGTGCACCAGATACTTTTCAATACTGAACTGATTTCGGCTTTTTTCCTAGCCAGCCACAGTGCAAAGTTAAGCGGTGTGGTCCATGGGCATATTGTTGCGAATTCTTCTCAGTTTATATAAGTGTATTATGTCGTATGATTTACATTCTGATAAGAGATATGTATTGTTTTTGCTTTGAAATTGTGGTAGATGTAGAAGAATTTTTTTTAACCAAATCATTCTTGTGTTATGTATTATTTTTTATTTTTCTTGGATTTATCGATCGATCGATCGATCGATAGATAGATAGATAGATAGATAGATCCAAGAAAAATAACAGTGGTCGGTGATAAATATGAAAAATATTCAAACATATCAAAAAAAAAAAACATAAGCGCTTTCATTTCTTCTTCATGATGTTTTACAATATACTCATGTAACGTCACAATAAACGTTACCATGAGTATATTGTAAAACATCATGAAGAAGAAATGAAAGCGCTTGTTTTACTCGTTCTTCATGTTTTTATATATTTGAATATTTTTAATATATATATATATATATATATATATATATATATATATATATATATATATATATATATATATATATATATATATATATATATATAAAGCACTTAAAATGACCAATTCATAGCGCTCCGGATTTCTTTGTTCACAACTGTTTATAAACTTCAAATTAAACATGTAACACTGTAAATATTTAGTGTTTGGTAGTTTTTATATTCTCCTGAATTTATTTTTCTATTCAAAAACATATTCTATTTTCAAAAAATGTTGAAAATTTGAAGAATTGAAGAAAACGCAAATTGATTGCTTATTCAGTTTGAAGCCTTTTTTATTATGCACACCTTTTTATTTTTGTTCAGTCACTGCCATACGTCTTGTTGATGGAGAAACCCCTTATGCAGGGAGAGTGGAGGTATATCACAACGGAGAATGGGGGACTGTTTGTGACGACTCCTGGGATTACCGAGATGCTGCAGTGGTCTGTCGATCCCTTGGGTTTTCTGTGTACGTAAACATAAATATAAATAAAAACAACTTTTAGGCTAACTTAAATAAAAGGATCATGTGAACTTTTCTGATTGTAGGGTGTCAAGTGCCCGTCTGTTATGTGTATATTGTAATATCATGTTTTCACTTTCTTCTTTTGATCCACCTTATAAATTTCAACTAAATTCACCTCAAAGCATTCTTGGATGGAAAGAATTCATGTTTGATCAAATAAAGAGACATGCCTTCTTTCAAGAGGAGTTGTTTATGAAACATAGAAAATATAGCGGTATCATTTTAAAATTACAAGAACAACCGGTTAAGCCAAAGCGTATGGGAAAGCTTCCTTATGTACTGTAGTTTCTTTAAATTAGGGCTTGCTTTATATTTTGTTGAGTCGCCCACGTGTCGCAGTGGTTAGAGCGTTTGCTCTAGAGTCACCGTATAAGGAGTTGATCCTTACGTCGCGGATTCGAATCCCACTATGGGACGTGGAGACCGGTCCTTCGGATGAGACCGTATAAACCGAGGTCACGTGTCGCATTAGATGCTGGCACGAAAAAAATCCCTCGTTGCTCATTGACTCGAAGTGCCGAGCATAGGTCAAAATTTGCAGCTCTCCACCGGTGGCGTCTCCATATGAGTCTCGAGAGGGACGTTAAATAACAATAAACAAACAAACAAATTTATATTGTTCATCCTTACTCATTGTTTTTATATGAAAAGCGGCCACAATGTTTTGTTGACATATCTATCGTGCATGTATCCTATCATATATTCTTTCAGGTTTAACTTTTATTTTACCATATTGTGCGCTTATCTAGTTTTCAATTTTCGTGTTTTTCGTTTACAGTATCAGGTATTCAGTTTTTCCTGTGCATATTGATAGTTTTATTTTTCGAGCTTTTTACGAAAACATCGATCGAATTATTCGTGAAGACTTATATACATATTTGGAATATAATGAATCTTAATAAACCATTTTTCATAAAGCAACTGCATTAAATGAAGAACTTGAAGAGCCAGATAATGAATATGAAAGAAAAGTAAATTATTTAGCTTCAATGAATTAAAAAGTACGTAGATCTTCATATTTTATACATATCAAAGAAAACAAAATCTTATTTGAAATCATCGCCTCATTGAGAATTTGGCTGAAATTACCTTTGGAAATTTATATATTTGTTTATGTAAATAGGAAGTATAAAAAACTGTTTTAGCTGAATTTGTAAATGCATGTATCCTGTTTTAATGCTTTTTATGCCCCGTAATCGAAGATTCGGGGGCATATAGTTTTTGCCCTGTCCGTCCGTCTGTCTGTCTAGCTGTCTGTCTCTCTGTCTGGCTGTCCGCAAAAACTTTAACCTTGTCCATAACTTTTGATTGGTTGGAGGTAAGGCGTTCATATATTTCTTATGGCAAGACCTTTCTTTGGGTACAATCATATTTGACCTTTTGACCTTGACCTTGGAGTTTGACCCACTTTTGCAAAATTTTATGAGACTTTAACCTTGTCCATAACTATTGAACAGTTGGTGTTTGGGCTTTCAGACTTCACATGTGTAATCTTTGTGACAAGATTTTTCTTTAGATGCCAACACCTTTGACCCATTGACCTTGACCTTGAAGTTTGACCTACTTTAAAAAAAATAACCTTGGCCATAACTTTTGAGCAGTTGGTGCTATGGCTTTCATACTTCACATGTGTATTTCTTGTGACATGACCTTTCTTTGGATACATACAACTTTGACCCTTTAACCTTGACCTTGGAGTTTGACCTACTTTTGAAAAAACTTAAACCTTGGCCATAACTTTTGAACAGTTGAAGCTAGGGCATTCATTCTTCACATGTGTATGCCTTTTCAAAATACCTTTCATTGGATACCAACAATTTTGACCTTTTGACCTTGACCTGAGAGTTTGACCTACTTTAATTTTGAAAATCTTTAACCTTGGCCATAACTTTTTAACAGTTAGTGCTAGGGTTTTCATACTTCACATGTGTATTCCTTGTGACAAGGCGTTCCTTTGATACCAACATCTTTGACCCTTTGACCTTGACCCTTGAGTTTGACCTACTTTTGAAAAACTTTAATCTTGACCATAACTTTAAAACAATTGGTGCTAAGGCTTTCATACTTCACATGTGCATTCCTTGTGACAAGGTCTTCCTTTGGATACCAACAAATTTGACCCTTTGACCTTGACCTTGGAGTAAGACCTACTTTGGAAAAACTTTAACTTTGCCCCTAACATTTGAACGTTTGGTTCTAGGGCTTTCACATTTCATGAACACATGTATCACTTGTGACAAGACCTACCCTTGGGCACCATTTGACCTTAACTTTGACGTTTTACTTACTTTCAAAAAACTTTAACCTTCGCCATAACTTTACAACAGTTGGTGTAAGGGGGCCTTCATATTTCACAAGTATATTCCTTGAGACAAGACCTTTCTTTGGGTATCAACATTTTTTATCTCTTGACCTGGACTTTGACTTGCATTTGAGAAACTTTAACCTTCGCCATAAGCTACCATACGGGGGCATCAGTGTTTCACAAACACATCTTGTCAGTCTTAGGTTAAAGATATAAAAAATTTAATAAAACACTTATTCTTTACAGAATAAATCCATCAGCATTTGGTAATGCATATTTTGGTGAGGGAAATGGCTCTATTTGGATGGATAATGTTCACTGTTCTGGTACAGAGGCAAGAATTGAACAATGCCATCATAACGGGTGGGGACATCATAATTGTGGCCATCATGAAGATGCGTCTGTCATATGTCAAGCTGGATTGTGTAGGATCATTTTTTAAATTGATAATTGTTAATTGTGTGGTGGTATCTCCTTGTAACACTTTCCATATAAGCTTCGTTTATGTTGAGCTCTAAAATGCATCTAGAAATATAATAGTTTCAGATTCCAGAATGTTTTTATCTAATATTCATAAAATAAGTGAGAGTAGGTTTTTATGCTTACTTTTCACACAGTCAGTCCAGTGCGTCTTGTGGGAGGACAGACTCCATACGAGGGTAGAGTAGAGATATACCGTAATGGAGTATGGGGAACAGTTTGTGATGATGCTTGGGATGATTTAGATAGTGTGGTGGTTTGTCGGTCTCTGGGATATCCCACGTGCGTATATTCTTTTTTGTGTAGCCCAAATCGTCATGATTTAATTCCATGTCTTTGGTATAATCCATTAAATTATTGATTTAATCATCTTCTTATTGAATATCAAAATTTAGACTTTTCCTTGTTTGAGTTTAATGTACATGTTAAAAAGACTTCTTTAAAACAAATGTACCTTTGATCAATCAAGAGTAGAAACTTGCATAGGTTTATTTTTTAGTGTTAGTAGTAAATTGTCCTTTTGCATAGTTATATGACCAAAACAATCCTATTTTAGAATGAATTGTTATATCTTTTATAAAATTAATACAAAGTTCGTATTGTGTTCAATGTTGTTGATGTCCTGAGGTGTGTAATGAACTAGAAGTGTGTTATGACCTTGACGTAATGTTTGGTTCAAATATTGAATTTTAGACAAAACGCTCAGAGCTTTGGATCTGCATTCTTCGGTCAAGGATCGGGTCCTATTCTGTTAGACAATGTAAATTGCCGTGGATCAGAGACAAACATTGAGGAGTGTCCACATAATGGATGGCAAACTCATAATTGTGTCCATCAGGAAGATGCCTCTGTTAGATGTTCAGAGGGTAAAATGATTTTTAATTTTTAATTCGATTTCTTCATTCCAGGAACAACTCACAAAATAAAAAAAAACTATACATGTAGATACATGTTCATATACTTTCATCCACATTTTTGCATGAGACAATCAGGTGACCTTTTTTGCTACCTGTTTTTGTCCATTGTCATGCGTTTTGCGTCAATTTTTTTTTAAAAAACATTGTCAACTTTTTCTTAGGAAAAAAAATTGATATAAAATATCGAAGGGTAAAGGGGAAATAATAACGAATTTCATTATCTCTTCTTTCTGGAGCATTATAGATGCGGTCGAAGCTGTCAAAACTAATGCGATATTTTTATGTCCCCCTTTCGAAGAAGGGAGAGTATATTGCTTTGCTGCTGTCTGTCGGTCGGTCGTTCTGTCTGTCTGTCTGTCGGTCGGTCCACCAACAGTTTCCGTTCATTTTCTTCGCAGAGGTTCACAAACTGAAATAAAATTTGGTATACAGATTTATCATAAGAGTATCTAGGTCAAGTTCTGATTTGGGTACGATCGAGCAATTTTTGACAGAGTTATGCCCCATGGACTTACAAAAATTCCAATTATTTGCAGTTTCCATTCATTTTCTATTCAGAGGTTGCACATAATGAAATGAAATTTGGCATACAGATTTATCATAAACCCCTTGGACTTAGAAAAATTCCAATTATTTGCAGTTTCCGTTCATTTTCTTTGCAGAGGTTGTACAAACTGAAATGAAATTTGGTATACAGATTTATCATAAGAATATCTAGGTCAAGTTATGATTTGGGTACGATCGAGCAATTTTTGACAGAGTTATGCTCCTTGAACTTAGAGAAATTCCAATTATTTGCAGTTTCCGTTATTTTCTTGGCAGAGGTTGCACAAACTGAAATGAAATTTGTAATACAGATTTATCGTAAGAATATCTAGGCCAAGTTATGATATGGGTACGATCGAGCAATTTTTAACAGAGGAAGGTCCCATGGACTTAGAAAAAATTCAATTATTAGCAGTTTCCGTTCATTTTCTTCCCAGAGGTTGCACATACTGAAATGAGATTTGGTATACAGATTTATCACAAAAATATCTAGGTCAAGTTTTGATTTGGGTACGATCGAACAATTTTTAACAGAGTAATGCCCTCCCCCCCCCCCTTGGACTTAGAAAAATTTCAATTATTTGGGGGGGCATAAGTGTTTCACAAACATATCTTGTTTTTAATAAATTTTACCTATGGACATGTATATCTTCAAAGCAAACTGTTAACCCGATTATAAAAACAACGAGCTTCCTGGATTCCGGGTTCAGACTCCAAGGTTGGGTTTTGATATTTTGAAAATGAATTATTATATTTTTAAAAATCTTCTCTACTTATATATATCTTGCAGATAAGTTGTTATAATTATTATAATCAGCAGCTAACCTTCTTTAAGTATTATATAATTCGATCGAGTCGAGGGATCAAACTCCGGGTTTGACTAAGTTTACATTCAAATTTATCATACAGCTTTTCCTTTACTTTCAATTTAAACGCCCTTGAGGCAAACTGCATTAAAATGATAATGATTATCGAGTTCTCATCAAACTTCGAAATGTGTGCCTCTTGAGTTTTTTTTTTTCAAAGTGAGACTTAAGTGGTATTTATGGTGCTCAGATGACAAGCAAAGCCCATATGGGCCTCTTGGATTGGGTAATGAATTCGATCTTTGCTGCATTAGTTTAGAACTCTGAAATGCATGTAGCATTACTTGATGCAGTATTAAAAATAACGTTTTCATAATAAATTTAGCTTTAACCATTTAAACAAGTTTCACAGGTAATCTGCATTGATTTTCTGTAATGACACAATGTTTGACTTATTTTTATCTATCATAGAAGCATCGATAACAACGCACACCCTAACAACAGAGCAAGGAACAACTACAAAGACACAAGCTTCGACTACACCAGCCCCAAATACATCAACCATGACACAAAGTCCAACAGTTACTACCACGTTTCACTATCCTTCAACGATGAACATGACGCAAACTCAAACAGCATCTATCACAACACAAGCACCAGCGACAACGATTAAAACACCAGTTTCAACAGCAACGACAACCCCAGCGCAAAGCTCAAAAACTGTGACAACAACAGAAGTTTCAAAGATAACAACCACAACAACATCTGCAACAATGACACAAGGTCTGATATCAACAATCACAAGACAGGCTCTTACAACGGCAAAAACCAGAACACAATCTCCAACAACGGCAACTATGACACTGACTCCAACGAAAACCACAACACAAAAGTCTACAACTACCACAACGACACAATCTCCAATTACATCGAAAAACACAATAAATAACACACAAACTCAGACAGCAAATACCACAGCCCAAGCACCACCGAAACCCACAATGCAGTCTTCAACAAAGACAACTCGTACGACACAATTTCCATTGACAACAAACATTACACAAGCCCAAACAAAAACAACCGCAAGAAAACCTCAATCGACAACCACGACACAAGCTTCTACAACGACAACCACAACACGAGGTCCAACAATGATGTCATCCATAACACAATCTCCAACACCGACAACAACGTTGACGGAAGCTTTAACAACAACAACACAAGCTCCAATTTCCACAACTAGATTTACGTTCATGCCAAGTAAGATATGATGTTAATATTTATCAAATCGTGGTTTTCATCGTTAAATCTTAAAAAAAAACAGCAATAACACAAGCTCTAAAGTCCACAACTAGATCTACATTCATGCCAAGTAAGATATGATGTTAATCTTTATCGGTTTAAGTGATTAAATAAGCTTTAAGTTAAACATTTACGTTCAGAAAACAAACAAAAGAACATTTTATATATATATATATATATATATATATATAAATATATATATATATATATATATATATATATATATATATATATATATATATATATATATATATATATATATATATATATATATATTTCAAATCTTCCCAAGAATCACTGCGCTAGAAAGGGTAAACTTAGGTGGAAGCTTTCTTAAGGAAGTGTAGATTCGAACATTTTCAAATCATAACCCCCGGGTCAGGGAGGGGGCACAATAAGAGATCAAAGCTTTACATTGAAATATATTAGAGTTTTTAAAATCTTTTAAAGAACCATTAGAGTAGGAAAAAAATGACACTTATATGAAGGCTTCCTGAGGAATTATAGATTCTCAAGTGTTCAAATCATGACTTCAAGAAGTAGGGTAGAGCTACAATAAGGGATAAAGGAGCACATTGAAATATGTAGGAAAATCTTTTTTCTCACGAACCACTCGACTAAAAAATATGAAACTTATTTGGAAGCATTCAGACATAATGTAGAATTTAAAATTCTCATCAGGGATCCCGGGTTGGTGACGCCACAAAAAAGGATCAAATTTTTGCATTGCAATATATATATATAAGATTAATCTTTAAAAATCTTCTATTCAAGAATCACTGAAACAGAAAAGAAAAAACTTAGGTGAAGGCTTCCAGAGGGAGTATAGATTTTAAACTGTACAACTTAGGCCCCTGCAGGTATGGTGGGCCACGATAGGGGATCAAAGTTTCGCATGCAACTATGAAATATATATATATATATATATATATATATATATATATATATATATATATATATATATATATATATATATATATATATATATATATATATATATATATATATATATATATATATAACTATGTAAGTTTTTTAAAAAGCTTCCAAAGAAACTCATTAAAATCATTCATTGCACACATTCCCATGTTGTTTGAATTTTTTTCTTCAAATTATGAAATCCAGGTTAGAGATGGCTTATATCAGGATTAAATTTTATATAATGCATGTATACAGGAAAAGGATTTTCTTCTCCATAATTTCAAGGCAATGTAAGTGATTTTAATACTGAAGCATCCCCACTGTGTATTGATTCAGAGACCCCCTAGAGTAAGGAAGGGGCCATAAATAGCCTACATTCTGTATTGCATCTTTCAATTTGAAGAACAGGGCTAAAGAACTCAGGTGAGCGTTGTGGCCGATGGGCCTTTTGTTTTTAATTTGTTTTACCACATTAAATTACATACCTTTTCTGATATTTTAATACAGAAACGTCAACAACAAGATTTTCACCTACAACAGAAACTTCCACAACTGAGAGAGTTACAAATGAAACGTTGATACCTAGTAAGATATGTGTTATGCAAATTCATATCATTTTTAAAGATGACATTTACTCGAGTTTTATTTGACAGACACATATTGCTTAAGCACGATGTCTTAAACCAATAATTGTTCTTAAATCATGACAAATTAACCATGTTAAATCAGAACTAATATTAAAATTCAATGTTTTCCTATTTGAAGAAAATATGCACGAACAATTATACAATTATGATGAAGCAAAGGAAATTTCCTCGAAAATTTTAATTTTTTCATTATTTTTACGAAATATTTAGTCTCTTGAGATATTATTTTGAAGTTTATTTTATTTTTGATCTTTATTTATTTTTTTTTTTTTGCAAATAATACGTTTGTTAAACTTCATGGGTTTTTTTCTCTTTTGACACTTGTTACTTTTCCTTATAAAGAAAATATTGATCACAGTTAGTGATTAAAAAATGAGGTATATTTTTAGAATTACTCCTGGGCTACTATCTTAAAAAGAAGGTTGTTGACTTGATTATTTTATGGGAATAATTACACTACAATCATAAGTCTACAATGAACAATATGTGGATTTTCATTCCAATAACCGTAATTTTTTATCATCTACATGTAAGTAAACGTCATCCTTAAAGCTTGAAACTAAATAATAACATTTTAAATTCAATACACAAAAAATCATTTTTGCACAGGCATTTCTTCACGTGAGTGAAAAATTCATATGAAATGAAAGGAATTTTTTATTAAACTACCGAGAATAGTGTATACGAATTGAAGCAATCAGTGGAATCCATTATCGCATCCCCAGTTTAAATTTTAACGGAGTCATCAATGACGCCTCAAAAAGAGGTTATTGTTCAATCCAACCCCAGCCCCCTTTGAAAATGTTAAAGTTTTATGTATACTCATCATTCTAATTAAACTTCTAAAAATAATGATAAAACATGAATTTGTTGATGTATTATTTTCATTTCTTGTTTAATTCTTTTAAGAAATTATACGAAGTGAATTAAACCAACAAAAGCAGGTCACGAGGTAAAATCAAAGCACTTTTTGATGAATCAAATCTTCTACAATATACATAAAAATAACATTCAAATCCGAATCCAAATCAGATTTTCCTTGTATACTGGAAAATAATTTAAACAAAAGAAATAGATATTTTAAAATGATATATTTTAAAATATATATTGCCTACATATGATAAATTGAACCCATGTTCCCTCTCGAAAAATAGCTCATCACTATACAGAGACTTGCACTCTACATGCTTCATTTAGAATTTTTTTTTTTTTTACTTTCAACTGAAAATTAAAAAATACAATCGTGCACATGTTTATTTTGCAATATATTATTAATCAGAGTTTGTATATAATTGAAGTATTTCTGACGCTTTTTTTTAATCTAAATCAGTAAGTGTATTTTCTCTGATTTATTTGTAAATGTTTTAATATATCTTACACCTAAAACTATATCTACTAGAAACAAATGTCCTGTACAAATTATCCATCTTTTCAGTTCAATAGAATGCTATCAAGATTCACGGTATGATGATAATGACGATATTGAGCTTCGCATGGTTACATGTATATACTAGTAATCGACGCATCAATAATCAATAGAAGAAAAGTTAAGAAGGTTATTGGAATTTTATTTGTCTGTTTCCTTTCTTCTCTCTTTCTTTATATAGACATTACAGTCCGACTTGTTGGTGGAAACACTCCCTATCAGGGTAGAGTGGAGGTTTTTTATAATGGAATATGGGGAACAGTTTGTGATGATTTTTATTCATTTAATGCTGATGGATCGAAAAACAGATTCTCTGAAGTAGTATGCCGTACTTTAGGCTTTCCCTGGTATGTTATTCAAGAATATGTTTGTCATTTTAAGTCAGATTGATTGCTTTATGTTCTTATCTAGCATGAATACTTGAATTAATCATACATTGTATATACATTACATATCACTTTAAAACTATGTTTTTTTGGTTTAAAAAAGCATAGTCTTCTATTTTGTACATTGCAAAAAGTTAGAAAAGGATTTTGTCAATCAGTAGTGAAACAACATGTAAGACGTGTTAGAGCAAGAAGCAACTATTTTGCTCATGTTTGCAATGGATATTCTGGTTGAAAAAATACTCTGCTGAGATGAAGATGATAATATAAAGACTATTAATGTATAAAAAGTTAATTCAGGTGTGTCTATATGAAATATATGGAGATTACGAACAGTATTCAAGCTCAGAAGTCCATTAAACAATACAAAATAGGAGCAGAGCAAACACGGACCTCCAAACATCAGAGGTGGGATCAGGTGCCATGGAGGAGTGAGCATCCCCTGCCGACCGGTCACACCCGCCGTGTGCTCCTTGTCATGATCGGGAAATAACGGAAAAATCCGTCGACAATTCAGTGTAAATAATGGCCTAACAATTAGTATGAAAAACATCAGTCAGCAATTGACTCAATGGTAAATTGTATTTGCTGACAAGGTCATTGTATCGACCATAGAACTTACGAAATGATGACTTTAAACGAGACAGCTGATATTCTTGTTTCATCAACTTATTTGTCAATAATTTACCTCGTTTTAGAAATTGTACATACGTAGAGCATGCTCTTGCGTATCGAATCAACTGAGAGATATATACCCTGTATGCAGGTGATGAAGGTATATTGCTGCATAAGTAAGGGAAGTTGACGATTGAAAAGTTAAAGTCATCACGTTTATCATAAAGCTTGGTTGTTAGATTACCATTAGCGTCTTTTTCAAGTAAAATATCCAAATATGAAACAGATGTGTCAGACTCTATGGTGTCTTTTATCTCAAGCTCACCAGGATATATCGTATCGACTTAAGAATGGAAATAGCCATTGTTAATTGACAATACGTCGTCGATATATATAAATGTCGAGTTGAAGGCCAAAGCAAGTGTTTTCTTCTTTTCACGTATAAGATTTTGGACAAATTCTGCTTCATATGAATACAAAAAAGGTCTGCTAATAACGGGGCGCAATTGGTACCCATGGGAATTCCAATAGATTGTTGGAAGACCTGGTCTCCAAAAACCACATAGATATTGTCAATCAGAAACTCAAGCATCTTTTTAATGTCAACTTCAGAGTACTTGTGTGTACAATCAATGTTTTTTAACATATTACTCAGGCAAACATCTGTGAGCTATTGCTGTGCACGTTATGGGCAAGGAACAGATCTTATCTGGCTAGATGATGTACGATGTAGTGGAAATGAAACAAATATAAAAGAGTGTTCACACATCGGTTGGGGTAACCATAACTGTGGACATCACGAGGATTTGTCTGTCGACTGTCTACCAGAGGAAGGTATGATCTTTGAAAACATGATTTATAAATAAAATTAAGTAGTATCTAAGTGCATATTTAATTTAATATAACATTGTCCTAAAGGAAAAACTGCTCTATATTTATTTTAAAGAATGTTATTGAGGAACTATAGGAAACAAAAATTTGTGATAGACGTACTTGCATTCATTCTCCTCAACTAATATTTTCACTCGATGCAACTTACCTTATCCCTAAAAATATTTTTGATTTTTTTTTTTCACAATGGAATTAGATACACGTTTTCATGTTTATAGAGCCAACAACAAGAGTGTCAATTACAACAGAAAGTCCCACTACCGAGAGAGTTACAAATGAAACGTTGATGCCAAGTAAGCTATCATGCTCATCTAAACTTTTTCAAGTGAAATCTTTGTGGCTTGAAACTAAATAAAAGCTTTCTAAAAGAATCTAAAAAAAATTTCACATCCACAGCTGTTTTGCACTGGATAATCAATACGGCAAAGAAAAAAAACACAGGTTTAGGTAGATTTTTTTCCAATCCCAAGAGAGTAATAAGTTATCAAAAACCATGTTAAGTCATCAATTTCTACACTTGGGGGGGGGGGGGGTGTACAACGTGTAGAAAAGCTGGAATATATTGAATTGTAATATAAACATACTTGATTGTCTACCGGTCACATATGACTTAAATTCCCATATCCGTTTTACTGAAAACCGCCTGGTGTGGTATGCTGCGCTATTAGGCCAAAGTTTTTTTTTCGTTTGGTTTACGATTCCGCCGACCCTAATTTTCACCAATCATGAAAATAAAAATAATGTCTTTTTCCGACATATTTTTCCGGATTTTTCTCAGCTGAACAGGTGGGTTTTAAATTTTAGAATGCATCTTAGTTGAATAAGCGCTTATAAATATATGAGACCTTTACAAACATTTAGGTGACCGTAAATAAACACATGTGCCGACCAAAAATGGCGGTTCTGTCATGTAACAGCTGTGTAACAAGGTAATTCTTCGCTGAAAGCAATGACATACACTTAAAGAACTTTTTCTGCATGGAAAAGTGAATAAAATCTTGGATGCATGATCCCTTTCTCCAATTGCAATGTCTCAATTGGCTAAATTCATACCGTAATATTGGAGAGTGTATGCCCAACCCTGATCGACCTAGCAGACACGGTTACACCTATAGATAATAGGGATTTATCAGTGCCTTCTCATGTACAATTGCCCAATTGAAAATGAGTTCAGTTTTTCCCAATTTGGCAGTATTTTTTGCCAATTGGTGAACAATGCTTTTATTTTTAATTATTTTGAAAAAAACACAAAGTAAAATTGTCAGACTGTCTGTAATTTTCATCTATTTAACTCATTTAGCAAAGCTACAGTCATAACACATGTTTAAAAACACTGTAAAAACATCGCCAGCTTTTAATCCGAATTTCCTCCTTTTTTCTTAAAATGATGATATTGTGTAATTATATAGATTTATTAAGTTATTTCCACATATTCAATTGATCTTTGAGTGAATGGTAAGGACTTTGGGCATTATTTCAAATAGAAAAATATATTTTCAATGCATTAATACATATTAAAAGAGGACTTTTAGAAAATGTGTACTTAGTATTTATGCAGGAGGTTTATAATCTCCAGAAACAGATACTATATGATCTAAATTGAAATCTCATACACACATGTACAACCCTACGTTGTATAACTGCTTTACACTCATTGAAGTCCAATTTACTTTCATTAGTCTATTATTCATAATTGATCTTGTATGATGAAGATGGATCATATTTAATTGTCGTTTGGTTGCCCAAATTAGAGTTCATGCTGAAATGTTAAATGAATTACCCCTGAATACAGGATTTAAGTAACATTTTAAAATTTTTTCCAATTTCATCAAATAGCCGATAATTTATTCCCAATTCCCCAAAAATGGTATTTCCCAAAATAGGCTGATAAATCCATGGATAATAGTTAGACCAGTTTAGTGTTGAGAGATACATCTTAGTTGAAGTAACGCTGACCGGTATTTCACTGGATAAGTTCAAATGTGTATAAAACATTTGTTAATTTATAGAAGTAAATTCAATATACAAATCTTTGCAAATTTCATACTCAATTGAGATCAAAGCCCTTTGAATTACTAAGAAAATAATGAGCATTGCCTACTGTGCAGGTACATAACAAAAATATAAAGAAGGACTTGATTGAGAAATTATTAGGCTTTTGTGCCGCAGGTTGAACATTAAATTTGATAGCTGCATGATCAAATTATTATAACCTTTATTTCAATGTCAATTACTTTTGATATTGTTAAACAATTAAATTGTATTTTTCTTCAATCTAAATTAATTTAATTTTGGATCCTTATTTTTAGTTTGTGGGCATACCGAGGTTTATAACACATCACTTATCACTGAAGAGCACAAAAAGAAGTTGAACATCATGAACCATGCACTGATTGACAAACAAAAATCAGAACTATATGTAAATGAAAATGACATTGAAGTCTAAAGTTAGAAATGAATCAAAATTAAATAAAAAGAGTTAAGTGATCTAGACAATAAAACTTAAAAGTACTATTGACGTGTATTATTTTTATTAAAATAAACATTGCTGGTATTTTAAAATGAAACTGTTGAATCCTAAATTATTTTTATTTTTATTTTTCGACCACCCAATGCATTTTTTGAGACAGAAAATCGTAAACCAAAAAAAAAACAAACTTTGGCCTTACAATTTTCTGGTACGATAGATAATTTTTAGTATCGCCCATAATATACATATGTATAACATCATCAGAGACACATTTTGTATGCAGCGACTGAGCGAGAGAAAGACAGGTTTATCAGGATTTTACAAGTATTTACAGAAAATCCTTTCTTGAGTTTGGTGCAGTGCGCAGCTTTGATCTTCAACGTAAAACCAGGGCAGAGGATTACGTTTGTTTCTTTCCTCGAAGGACCCAAAAATGTATAGCGCACGTAGTATAGGACATGGCCTTTACATGTAATACAGCGTATATAAAAACATCCAAAATTTTTCAATATTTTATAGTATTTAATAAAACTGGCTATAAACAAATAGAAATTAGACACATATCTGGTAAATATAGTGACATATGCTTTATTATTTCAAGCGAGATCAATGGCAATTATTGTAGTTTTTGCATGCGGTATACGACGAATTGTTGACTGTGCATTGAAAACTAACTGAAACCAGATAAATGATATATCATGTATATTATTAAATCTAGGTCTCTTTTATTATTAGCTTGGTCTCTATATTAAAAGTAAATATATTCACTCATTCTATTTTCCAAAACACTCTTTCAAGGAGCTATACAGTATCTCTACAAAAGACACAAACTAGCTCCTAAATATGCGTGGCCTTTTCGTTAACGCAAATTTCTCTTTTTTTAAAAAAATTATAATAGTTGTGGTATATATAACTTTTCTTTAACTTCAGCTAGTTAACTTTTATTAATCGTGTTTTTAAAATTCATGCAAACAGGTAGATCTATGCAATAGTAACACTGTCTGTTTACTAGTACACATGAACGTTAACAAGACTGAATATTACAATGAGTTTTCAATGAGTCACAGAAAAAGAAAAATTATTGGGGATGTGACGACATCATCAAAGATGCAGCGGTAGTTCCTTACAAAGGACAGTGATCTAGACCTTTCAGAAAAAATTAAAAAAGTCAAGGAAACAGAAATCATCAAAACATGCATACACACGGAAAAGCTGATTATGAAACAATAACAGAGAAAGTTTTAAAAATGTTTTTTTCTGGAAATACATGAATCTTTAGTCCAATTCAGAGCATGAGTTTACGAGAAAATTTTATTAACTATATACGTAAATATATGTATAGTTCCACATACTTTATACAGGAAAAAGTTTGCCTTATTCACAGGTGGGCGAATTAAAAAAAAAAACGTATAATTTTATAACAAATTTGTGACTGGACGAATTTAAAACGGGGCAGAATTGTTTGCAAGTGTTCATTTCGTTAAATTCCTAAATTCAAGCCCAGATAAGGCAAATATATGAAATTATTTTAATCACATATACAATTGTATATCCTTAACCACTATTCAATCTAATGCGCTAAGTAAATCTATCAGTAGAATTACATGCAGTTACTTTCCATTAAACAATTCTGGGTAAGAGTGCTAGACATCCCTAATTAGGAAGATACGCTGAATCTGTGAAGGTAGAGCATCGGTTGTTATTGTGACAAAATTGGAACAATTAAAACACATGTTCAACAGTGTTGACAAGAATTTTAATTAAAAGAAATATTCAACAAATGGTGTCAGGTATTCTCATAAATTCTAATGTTCTTGTTAATATCTCATCTTCCACTACTCCAAGTTCCTTATGGGAATGAGAAATAGTTACATGTGGTTAGTGGTGCACGGTCTAGTAAATAACACCTATATGAATATTTACATGTAAAAATTGTACAAATATATGCATAATACATTGAATAATCGGGGGAGAAGGGTTCAAGGGGTTTGATCCCCCCCCCCCTTTCTCAAGATAAAGTTTTGGCTATCACAATTTTGTAAGTATTTCACATTTCATATTTATTGAGTTTTGTATCAAATATAAAAAAAAGTCTTCACACTTTGAGTTCTTTATTGATTGAGTATGATATTGATCTACATGAACTAAAGTTCTTAGATTTTCAGCAGAATCCTCGTTATGTTTCTAGAATAGGGGATGCGGCGAGGGTCTTGGGGGTTGGACTACCTCCCCTTTTCTAAGCCAGATAATTTTTTTAGAAATACGAAGGGTGATCAAAAAAGTTTGCAAACTAATCAAATAACTTCCATAAAAGAAATAAAATTAGATTTCGATGTTCGTTAATTTTTAAAGTATTCCTCTCCGATTTTAATGCACATCTGCCACCGTTCTGCCCATGCGCGAATCACGTGATCCAGGCGGTCACGTGACATGCTCCGTAGCGTTCTGTTCGCAGAGGCTAAAAGATTTTTTCGAGTCTTATATTTCTTACCATGCAAGTTATTTTTTAATACAAGAATAATCCATTTGTCGCAAATGGCCAAATCTCGGCAATAGGATGGGTGGATAAGGATATCCTTTCCCAGAATGAGCATGGTGACCATTACAACCCGACTTCTCTGTCTTGGATGCGTCGTTTTTCCATTGTGGATAAAGTATGGTTGCCATCTTTTTAACATATCTGATATGATTAAAGTCTAAAGTAGATGGTATTTTAGGGATTTAATAATTAAAATGTTCTTAAGATATTCAAATATATTTTTAACCGTAACTTGATTATCTTTCATAGCAAATTGCTCAACCAAGGACATATCGCTTCCTAGCTTACTTTCACTGGGAACCAGAACAAACATCATATTTAACCATCTCCCTTCACCCACTAAAACAATCAATCCAATTAATGATTGAACTTCTGGCAAGTGTTTTGTCTTCATAAACCTTGTACAAATTATTATATGCTACTGCAAAGAAATTTCCAAAATATACATTAAACTTAATAGCCTTTCGTTGCTAAGTACGACTAAGTCAGCCATTTTTTGTCAAAAGTCATCTACATATTGATGTCATTTTCACCAGCAAAACACTACGTAACATGTGCTTTTATAGAACATGTTTATTACTATATGTGTGCCAAATTTCATTCTGATCTGAATAGCGGTTTTGTAAATATAGAGATAGTTCGCGACTTTTTGATCACCCCTCGTAGATACATTTTTGTGGGTTCTGGTGCATTTGCCACCGTGTGAAATGAACAGATTTTTGACTGACAATAATTTTTGTTGATAGTGCTAATTATAATTTAATAGACCGTGGCCGTAGGAAATTTGATACCTATCTGTAAATCATAATTAATTTATGTCTTTGTATAATATAAAGATTTAATAGTCATTGTATTTTCTTTTTTCATTATTATTATATATTTATCCACGCTGATTTTAAATCGGGTAGAAAACGTCAAGTATTTGATCATTCATACATCAGTAAATAAAGTACATAATTAAATATTGCTACTAGTCATAAATTCTTGAAGTATTCTTGCATATCAGGCTATATATTAAATAAAGTCTAGAAGAATTCTCTTGTTTTATTTAGTTTTCGGAAAATTAAAACCTTACCTCTTTTTAAATTTCAAAAATTTAAACGTTGCTATATTTGGATAAAAAAAGAGATATGTTCGAGTGTTTTTAAAGGAATGCGATCGCACCCACCCACTCCCATGTTCCGACGGCCTTGAGTAAACCTGATGCCAATTATCATTGTTGATATGCTTTCACAGGTGACTTATCAATATTCAACGAGTCTAGGTAATGTCACACATTCACTTGTAAAGGTCATTACCTGAAATAAAGAATTTCCTTCTGTATATAGAAATGTAAATGACATATCACTACTGGTTTTATTATTATCTAACGAAAGTAACAAATGTTCCACGATCATGTTATTTCATGGGTTCAAATTATGTCCTAAATGTATCGATTTTGCTGCAATTTTTGAAATATTTGTTGTTATTTTATTTTTAATTCAAGATAAACTTTGAAAAACATTACAATCGATTGCGAGTTGGTCCTGAGAAGACTTTCCCGTTTCATTTTCGTTATTTTCGGATTCTAACTTCGATGAGATATTCATGTAGGCCTATGATATTCTGCTTGCTTTGTAATGGGTACAAACACATATGGGTGAAATTTTAGACTTAAGTCTATATCCGGAAGATCACCGTCAATATCCACTGTATCGTTGAAACTTGCCATTTATCAGTTTTTCAGTTGTTTATAGAATAGCGCCTACAGCATTTTTCTCTGATGACGTCATAGAAAAGAGCGATAACTCTATCGCCCGTGTCTATAAATAACGATACTGAACAGATATTTTTCATTTATTTCTGGATTTTAAAAAATACCCAAAAATTATTTATTGCATTTAATCAATTGTAAACATTAGATTTATTTTCACCGTTCTTGACCTTTAATGGGTTTTTTTAAGTGGGGACGTCGACGTCACCTGCTCTCGGTGAAGTGTCGCAAATTTTCACCCACGCCTGTAGCAGTAATGTTTCTTCAAAACCAGTACTATAGTAGCATTTTTTGATAACTATAAAAGTACTGAGCCTAAAATTCAATGTAAATTAAAGGATTGAACAAGTATATAGTTTCCTCACGAATAACGTTTAAACTTCAAATAATAATGATAAAAAACGATTTTAAGTATCATTTTTAATTTCTTTTTTTTATATATTTATCTTGATTTATTGAACAGTGTCATTTAAAACAATAAAAACTCTTAAAGTGAAAGCCCATACATCTTTTTTGACGACTCAAACCTGCAACACGGACGGACTTGCATTGAGTTTGTGTTACACATGTTTATTTTGTTATCTACTGTAAACGTGGAAATTTTGACGACGTGCTAATTTTGACTATATTGACGATTTTTCTTTTCTCGTCAAAATTTCCACTCGTCAATCTTCACATCATATATATAGCGTCACAACAGACATTGACCGTCGTGCAACTTTACCGCTTAATTTTCTCGGCTTCCCCCATTAAAACTAGATCAAAATTACTGTTTAATTTTCTTGTAAATAGTTATGAAAACATATAATCACAGTTTTAAAAACCATTGAGTATATCATATACTATTATTACCCATGGTCACAACATTCTAACTTTGCGTAATTATCACGCCGTGTGTGACCTACTTTGTCACCTCAGGCAATCGGTCTCGTATAATGAAAACAAAGACTAGTACAAAAGAGCAATTAATTCAATCAAATCTTGTACACTGTAGATGGTTTTTACAAGCAAAATTAAATTTTATTGATGAGAACGCTTGTAAATTCCCGAGGAAGTCCCGGTCCTTGGTTATAACATCGTGAACTCGCACAGAGCGGCTTAATCGTAGACGTTCTGAAGTCAACTAAGCCAATAAATCCATCAAGTTTTTGGTCCTCTAGCTTCTGGCGAACTTACTCTGAGTTCTAGTTTTGAAACTGGTTTTTTTTAAGGAGTTCTTTGTATTCATTTTTGTTTTAATCTTGTGAGATCAAAGATATACATAACTCTTGATTCAATATTCGTCAAAATTAACACTCGGCAATTTTCGTAAACAAAAAATCGTCAATTTTTCAACTCGTCAAAATAACCACGTTTACAGTATTTGAGAGATTGTCTTAAGCTGAAGTATCTTCTTTGCTTTGTCTGTTTGTATTTTTCTTGTTTTGTTTGGATTATCTGTACAATCAAGCCTTGTTAATCCTTATACATATGGTCGTTAGCAAACCGTCCGGATAACTGAAGCATCCGGATTTCTGAAACATAATTTTTATGATTGGAAGGTATAAATGTAAATTTCGTACACTACATATTGCGCCCGAAAGGTGGAACGCCCGGATTATAAGGCGTCCGTGTTACGGAGGGTGGATGTATATGCGTTTGATTTTGTATGTTATACCCAGGGTTGGCAAAACACTTGGAAATATTCATATTTCTCAGGACAGTGGGATATACTGGTTATTCCCGGGAATTACTGATATTTCCTGGGAAATACTGGAAAATCAGAAATAGCTACATATTTCATAATTTCAATAATATTTGTTGGGGTATAGACACGTAGTACACCTTATTGCCTAAGATATCTACCTGATATCACTGTTCCGGATTTAAAAAAATTCTGGTTTCTAAGTAATCCATTTTATGTAATCATAACACAGTATATACCAGTCATGAGTGTCATTTATTTCATGCTTGAGTCAGATGTATCTTATAAAGGTCCACAAATGAACCCAAAGATCCCAAACTGGTTTTTTTTATGTAACTAAAGAAGGCTCTTAGAAAATTGTTAAATGTCGAGTATGGTTTAAATATCAAATCTAAGAAGAGGCCTTTAAGTTCTACTCAAGGTAATTATCTCTCAGAAAAGGAGTACAAAACTGTACAGAGCAATTTATTAAAACAACGTGATTGATCGTAATAGGATTAAACAAATTTATTTTGTTCTTGGATTTGTAGTTAATAAACTTAATAATATTACAAAATTGAAAACTTGAATTAAAAAAAACCTCAGTTTTATTCTTAATATACCACCAGAGAAACATGTACTGCTACAGAATATTTTTGGGGTGTCAAAGGACCTGCAATAGTGATATACTCTTCATATGTAAAGTTTCAGTTTGAGACATATTCAGTATTATTCACCTTCTCTTTTTATGTTTATTTTATTTCAGAATTTTGCATGATTGAATGAATTAAAGAAATAAAAAAAACTGTAACTTAAGTATTTCCCAGTTTTGAGAAAATTTGTAGTATTTACTGGGACGTGAAATACCGGTATTTACCACTGGAAATTCCCACCACTGGTATTTCCCGTCCAACTTGGTTATCTAGTAGATACAAATGTCCAATGCAAAATATCCATCTTTTCATTCCAAAAGAATGCTATCAACGTTCTTTGTATGATATCAATGATAATGAAGATCGGAAGCTTTGCATTGATAAATTATTTCTGAACATATTATTGATTGCAAAGAAAATTACTAGCATAAGTTTATATCTGTATTCAATTTCATTTCCGTCTTTTTCTGTATCCAGACATTACAGTCCGACTTGTTGGAGGAAACACTCCCTATCAGGGTAGAGTGGAGGTCTATTACAATGGCGTATGGGGAACAGTTTGTGATGATTATTATTTATTTAATGGTGATAGTACATACAACAGTTTCCCAAAAGTGATATGCCGATCTTTAGGCTTTCCGTGGTATGTCGTTCAGAATATAATTCAAAAATTAGAATTGATTGATTGCTTTCCATGTTCATGTGTGACATCAATACTTAAATTTTACATCATATTATTAAGAATTTAAGTAATATGGAAATTTAAATTAACATTTCATGTAAAAGAATGTAGTAGTCTTGAATTTTTATCTCCAAATAAATACAAATAGAAGAAAAGCATTTTTTTCAATCTCTACATGTGTTGAGACAGCTTGTAAGACATGTATGATGAGCATATTTTGTCTATCTCTGCACTGAATACTCATGTTGATATTTAAATTTAACATACCTCACTTTAAATAAGTGGAAGATAATGATGTTAAGTCTATAAAAGCAAAATAACTTTGTTCTAACTTTAAATTTAAATTTCTTAGGCAAACATCTGTGAGCTATTGTTGTGCTCATTATGGGCAAGGGACAGGCCCTATTTGGCTAGATGATGTACAGTGTAGTGGAAATGAAACAAATATTGAAGAGTGTCCACACAGAGGTTGGGGCAATCATAACTGTGGACATTACGAGGATGTGTCTGTCAACTGTCTACCAGAGGAGGGTATGATCTAAAAAGCATGAATTAGAAATATGTTTGTTATCATAGGGCAAAACTTTTTGATTCCTATATAACTTTGTGTCAAAGAAAAGATACCTTAATCATTTGACAAATATTTCGGATGAATGATAATGTTAACCAATAACCATAAGAAACATAAATTAAATTTCCATTCTTCTCTGATAATATACTGATTTAAAATCAATTTAGAGTTCTCCTGTAAGTATTTTTGAGCATTTAGCTTGCATAAACCACCGATATTTATAGAAACAACACCATCAAGAGCATCGTTTACAACAGAAACCTCCACAAAGGAAAGAGTTACAACTGATATCTTGATACCAAGTAAGCCATGATGCTCTGCGAAGGTCTTATTTCTTAGTCATTTTACTAGTTCAATTCGACATCAAAATTCATGGCATGATAATTATGATGATGTTGAGCTTTACATAACTTTTATAATCTCGAAATAAATAAGAAGAAATGTTACAAACATTAATTGAATAAATGGAATTTTTATTCCCCTTTTCACTATAAGTTCTCTCCCTTTCTGAATCTAGCCACTACAGTCCGACTTGTTGGTGGAAACAGTCCATATCAGGGTAGAGTAGAAGTTTATTACAATGGAGTATGGGGAACAGTTTGTGATGATTTTTATTCATCTTCTGCTGCACGATTCCCTGAAGTAGTATGCCGATCTTTAGGCTTTCCCTGGTATGTTGTTCTGGAGTATATTTAAGGAATATTTTAAAGTTTTGTGTGAATTATTGGTGTGTAAATCACACTGACTTTTCACATAGGCATATTTCATGAAGTGGGCTAGTGCTTCATGAAAAGTACGCCTACGTGCAATTAGGTATAATTTACACACCAATAATTCACATTTAACTTAAAAGCATTCCTTATGTTTACATTTTATATGTTTAAAAGCACCAAAAATATACGCAATGTTTGAATTTCTCCCTGTCTCATATTGTTTTATTTCTTTTAATTTTTCTGTACCCTCACTGTGAATTTTGCACGAGTTTCTCCGTGTATATTTCGACGCGTGAGTATACATGAAATTGGTTTTAAAAACAATTTCAATGTTGGCTTAGCAGAAAAAAGACAACAAATATAAATATTTTTTATTTCAAAATAAATTCTGCTTATCATGATAATATCGGCATCATTACTTAAACTGATTTTAAATTAAACGAATAAGAAATAAATTTCGAGGTTTGAATTACAAGAAGATAGTCCTCTTCTGTTTCGTAATCTGAAGACATGACAATAGTAAGAAATTGTTTTGTCAGTCGGAGAAGTAGTGGTGCAGCTTTTATTGTTTTGGTCTGGTGTGAATATTCTGGTTAAAAATGATCACACTATTTGACAAATAAGGTAAAGATGATACTTTTTAGACTATAAAATGATATATTACATTTAATTCTTAAGGCAAACATCTGTAAGCTATTGCTGTGCACGCTATGGGCAAGGAACAGGTCCTATTTGGCTAGATGATATACAGTGTAGTGGAAATGAAACAAATATTGAAGATTGTCAACATATCGGTTGGGGTAACCATAACTGTGGACATCACGAGGATGTGTCTGTCAACTGTCTACAAGAGGAGGGTATGATCTAAGAGCATGATTTACGAATAAAATGTGTGATAATTTGGTGTGCATCCTTTAATTTTAAACAATTTTTTGCAAAAAGAAAACATGTTATAATTCTAAAAATTATATTTTATATTTTTATCAATAATGATATTAAATAACCATAGAAAAAAAAGGAACTAGAACTTTGTGAAATTATAACTTGCAAATCATAGGATATTTTTATGATATTATTTTCATTTTTAGCTGAACGCTCAAATGAGCTTTTCTAATCAGACTTTGTCTGTAAACTTTTCCCACTTTTGACCTCTTCTTCTGAACCACTGGGACAAATTCAGCTAAACTTTGTACAAAGCATGTAATTAAGAATTTTGAAAAATGTTTAAACATCTTTATAAATCTTCTTTTCAACAATCACTGGGATAAAAAAGATAAGATTTCTGTGAAACTTTCATTACATAGACTAAGTGTACAATCATGACCTCCTGGGGAAGAATTGTGCCACAATCGTGAATCAAATTTTTACAAAGAAATAGATTGGAAAAGATCTTGATTAGTCATAAGAATATGGCATCATCAGATAGTGTAGATTCAATTTTATTCAAATCATGACACCTGGGGATAGGTTGGGGTCACAACAGGGATCAGAGTCTTACATAGGAATATATAATTGAAAAAACCTGCTGATGAAGAACACGGAGCTTTACTGAGTTAGGTGAGCGTTGTGGCCCATGGGCCCCTTGTTATGCAATGCGACTTAAAGTTCTCTCAGAAAAATTGAAATATGGCTTTTTCATAAATAAAGTTACATTCAATTTTGAACCAGCATTTCATCTTTAGCCTAATTAAGTTAAAGGTTTAGTGAACTGTGGATACTGGGTATAGATCCCACCTTTTTTTAGAACGTCAGTAAACTTTATATAGTCCTTCTCTGTCTCATTTAAGCAATATGCCCCTTCACAAAACATGAATCCTATTCTGTTTGAAATTATTAACATTTTTATTTAAGGTCTGACGACACGTTCCTCGAAATTCTTTATCAATTTGACTTGTATGTATTATCTATTATTATTAAGGTCTTCCGTCTTCACGGAAGACCTTATAGTGATTCTACTGTTTCTTATTATTAAGGTCTTCCGTCTTCACGGAAGACCTTATAGTGATTCTACTGTTTCTTATTATTATTATTATTATTATTATTCTTATTTTTTTCCCTAAATTTTGTGCACGCGATTTCTCAGCAACTATTCAGTGGTTTTCTATGAAATTTTCAGGAATTATGCGCATTTATAGGAACTTGATACGTCTTGGAGGAATTTTGAAAATTCGCTTCCGGTGCCAAGTTATGGACAATTTCCTGATTTTAAAATGAAATTTTGTCGCCCCTTTTTTGCAAAAATGGTAAAAGATATGAACTGGAGACTTGTAAGAGAGTATAGGGCATGACTTATAGGTGAACAGAATCACCTTTTCGTTCGTCGTCGGCACTTCCGGTCGCTTACGGAAGTGATCAAAGAAATCGTAAAATTTCAACTTTGCATTTTCAAATCAAATCCTACACAACATTATTGCATCTCTTTCGTAGCTTCGAAATATGTTGGTCCCACCGGAAACAAAAACGTCAACTTCCGGTTATAAGAGAAAAACTACATAATTTGAGTATTTTTCTTTCCCATTAATATCCTTTGTAGATAAGGTATTTGAAATGAATTTTACATATGTTATTTAGACTGCAAATATCTAGAGTAACATTAATTATCTTTGTAAAATTCACTTCCGGTCGCGTGTTTTCCTGTCCTCAAAATGAGAAGTTGTCTGAGCAAGATCTCGGAAACGGTGAGAGATTAGGACACCAAACTTATATGAGCATCAGACCTTAAGATGTAGGCAAAACCAATTGGGTTCAGAGCGTCGGCCGTCACTTCCGGTCGTCACAGGAAGTGATCCAAGAAATCGAAAATTTCAATTTTTCTTTTTTTAAGTAAAAATTGCATCACTTCATTGCATCTCTTTTAGATTCGAAAGATGTTGGTCCCACCGGAAACAAAAATGACAACTTCCGGTTATAAGAGAAAAACTACATAATTTGAGTATTTTACTTTCCCATCAATATTTTTTCTAGATAAAGTATTTGAAATGAATTTTAAATATGTTATTCAGACTGCAAATGTCTAGAGTAACCTTAAATATCTTTCAAAAATTCACTTCCGGTCGCATGTCTTCCTGTCCTCAAAATGTGAAGTTGTCTGAGCAAGATCTCGGAAACGGTGAGAGATTAGGACACCAAACTTATATGAGCATCAGACCTTAAGATGTAGGCAAAACCAATTGGGTTCAGAGCGTCGGCCGTCACTTCCGGTCGTCACAGGAAGTGATCCAAGAAATCGAAAATTTCAATTTTTCTTTTTTTAAGTAAAAATTGCATCACTTCATTGCATCTCTTTTAGATTCGAAAGATGTTGGTCCCACCGGAAACAAAAATGACAACTTCCGGTTATAAGAGAAAAACTACATAATTTGAGTATTTTACTTTCCCATCAATATTTTTTCTAGATAAAGTATTTGAAATGAATTTTAAATATGTTATTCAGACTGCAAATGTCTAGAGTAACCTTAAATATCTTTCAAAAATTCACTTCCGGTCGCATGTCTTCCTGTCCTCAAAATGTGAAGTTGTCTGAGCGAGATCTCAAAACCAGGTAAAAGAATAAAACACCAATCTTTTATGAGTAATAGACCTTGAGGAGTAGGCAAAACCATTTGGGTTAAACGCGTCAGTCGTCACTTCCGCTTGTCACAGTAAGTGATCAAAGAAATCTAAAAAAAACTAACTTTTCTTTTTTAAATTAATGCTTGCATCACTTTATTGCATCTCTTTCGCTGTTTTGAAATATGTTAGATTCCACCGGAAATAAAAACGTCAACTTCCGGTTCTAGGAGATAAACTACTTTATTTTGATATTTAACTTTCTCATAAATATTGCTCATCGATAAAGTACTTGAAATGACTTTATGTATGTTGTATATACTGCAAATGTCTAGAGAAAAGTCAGAGATTTTTTATAAAATTCACTTCCGGTCTCGTGTTTACCTGTCCTCAAAATTAGAATTTGATCTCACAATATTGCTCGGCAACGACAGTAAACGACTAAGGTCTAAAACTTTCTGGACTGATGGTCAGTCATCAGTTTATTTGAATCGTGAGAAAATCTTGTATCGCCGTTACTTTCGGTATTTCCGGTCGTGACCGGAAGTGATGTAAAAAAGTGAATGGTAAATGATTAGCACGTTGGATTTTCACGCTGACGACTAGAGTTAAATCTCCAGAGTGTCTGAATTTCTTTTATCTCTTTTTCAGCTTGAATTTTCGTTTTTATTTTCAAAATCGGACGGAAGACCTCTCATTGCTCGCAATGAGTTTCTAGTTATTATTATTTTTTTTTTCCCCAAAATTTTGTGCAGGCGATTTCTCAAAAACTATTCAGTGGTTTTAAATGAAACTTTCAGGAGTTATGCGTCGTCAAATGGACTTTGTTCATCAGAAAGAAAATTTGGAAAACTCGCTTCCGGTGCCAAGTTATTGACAGTTTTCTGATTTTAAAATGAGATTTTGTCCCCCCTTTTTTTCCAAAATGGTTTAAGATATGAACTGGAGACTTGTTAGAGATGATAGGTTATGTCTTCTAGATGAGGGGAATCACCTTTTTGTGCGTCGTCAGTACTTCCGGTCATTACCGGATGCGAATTTAAAAAAATTGAATTTTTAAACTTTTTTGTTTTTCTATATTTTTCTTTTGTTTTAATAAGGTTAATAGAGGCTCTTCTGAAAATGCTTAATATATAATTTATTTTTAGAATTGATCAATCCAAACTCTAGATATTCGCATTTCTAAATTTGAAGCGGGTCCAAAATGGCGGCTGTCTCCGTAAACTCCGATAAGTAGGTCAGAATTTACGGAGTCAGCCGAGCGTTTGTTTGAATGAAAGTACCATAAGGATCAAAGAAATGTGAAGGAATTGATGGATTGTCACATCACAATTACGTTGCAATTCTGTTTCGAACTAGAGTTTTAATCCGGGGTTTCCTCAAACGTCTACTATAATTGTTCTTGTCTGTATCTCAAAGTAGAAAAACGACATGACTACAAGTGGAAATACGATAACTACAACCTTTTGTTTTACACCACGGAAAACTGATCCTAAACCATGGTTATAAGTAATAGCTTTTCAAGAAACTTGCCTGACTAAAGCAATTAATATATAGTAATTATTACGTGGCCATTGTTTTTCCCCATGCAGGCTTGTGTCATATCAAATGAACAGAAAAGACAAAAATAAGAAAACCATTTTTTTAAAGATTGTTTAATGAAGTTGATATAAATATTTTTTTCTAAAAGATGTTGTTACTGAACATAAATGGTATCAGATTCCTTGACCGTCGCAGGACGAGACATGTTTTTGTGCGAAACATTCCAGTCTTTTCATGAATGTGTAACTAATCGGGATAGTCCACTTTGGGGGTAGACAGGAAAATAAAACTTGTAGAAAATCTTACCTAAATAACTGCTTTAGTGTTACTTATCCATACGATATATAATAAGTACAATATGATAAATATACTTTCTCAAGCTCGATATTCAGATTAAAAGAACATACATTTTGAAATTTCATTGAAGCTATCACCATTCAATAGAAAATACATTCCAAAGGATATGCGCGAATATTTACCCGTGACGTTTCGTGCCAAATAATGTATCGTGACCAACCTTTCGTAGTAGACAAATGGTCTGATGCAGAAGTATATAGAAGTGCAGAAAAAGATTACATGGACATGCCTGTATATGGAATTACATGAAATAAAAAGTTGAATACATAAAGAATAAAAGAAAGTAAACAGTATCATCAGAGAATGGCTAAAGATATGAATATGAAACTTGCTGAGGTGATAGAGCATCAAATATAGATATATTGATCGACCATTAATTTTCGTCGTTCTTACTTCCGGTCGCAAACGGAAGTGAATTCAAAAATGTTAAATTTGCAACTTTTTTGTTTTTCAATATTTTTCTCTGGCATTTACAGGGTTAATAGACAGTCTTCTAGGAGTTTTTGATTGAAAAAGTTTGCAGAGATTTTTATAAAATTCACTTCCGGTCGAGTGTTTATCTGTCCTCAAAATTAGAATTTGTTCTCACAATATTGCTCGGCAACAGTAAACGACTGAAGTCTAAAACTTTCAGGTCTGATAGTCAGTCATCAGTTTATTTGAATCGTGAGAAAATCTTGTATCGCCGTTACTTCCGGTCGTGACAGGAAGTGATACAAAAAAGTGAATGGTTAACGGTTAGCTTTCTTGGATTTTCACGCTGAATTTCTTTTATCACTTTTTCAGCGTGAATTTTTGTTTTCAGATATTTTCAGAGTCGGACGGAAGACCTCTCATTGCTCGCAATGAGTTCTAGTTATTATTATTATTATTATTTAGGAACCTCGTCAATATCTGCATCTATATCAACAGCACATAGTACAACCGAATCAACCACTCAACAGAAGCCTACCACTGAATCGTGGATTCCAGGTGAGAATCTGCTTCAGTTTGTAAATGTTCAGTTCTATGCTAACTACATGGTAATATGTAAACAATACTTACATTTTAAAGGTGCATAGACACAGATTTGAACTTAATATTTTCTCAAATTTTCTGTATAATATCACGACTTATATATTGCAATAGCATTTCACACGAAAATATAAATAAAAACTTATTTTATCTGGAAATAATTGAAATTACGAATTCCGGGACGCGTTTGATTAACACATCTTTGCACTTACATAAATTTAAACTTTCTCCTTAATATTTAAGAAAAAAAGCGATTTTGTTATGTATTGAAAAATATTGCATCTATAATCCAGAAAATTCAGAGTAGAAATGTTCGAAAGCAAAACCAACTCACAGAATTGTCAGTCCGTGCTCTGTGATGTGTACAGATTTTAACAAATTGATCACACCCGTTAAACGTAAACTGATTTTGTAAACCGGGCACGAGCTCTGTTACTGTTAATGTTTACGATTCACCGGGTGTGTTCAATTGTTAAACTCTGCACACACCACTGAGCACGGACTTACAATACTGGTGAGTGGGTTTTGCTTTCGAACATTTCTACTCTGAATTTTCTGGGTTATAGTTTTAATATTTTTCATTAATACACAACAAAATTGCCACTTTTCTTAAGTATTAAGAATAAAATTAGAATATGTGAAAGCGCAAGGATGTGTCAATCCAACGCGTCCAAAAATTCCAAGTTTCAATTACTTCGAGATAAAATAAGATTTTTATTATATTTTAGTGTGAAATGCTATAGCAACATATAAGTCATGAAATTATACAGAAAATCTGAGAAAATATTAACTTCAAATATGTGTCCAAGCACTCTATATTTCAGCAAGATTACAATGTGCATCACGACGTGATTTAATGCTAATGTTATCAAGTTTGCATGCAACAAAGTAGTAATCAAGGAAAATATAGGACATGCTTGTTTTATAAAATCATAAAGATATGTCATGCTTGTTTCAACCTCTCCTTTAAAAAGACCAAACAAATACGAAAATTATTGACATTATGTAGCATCGAACATTTGCAGAATTTAATTATAAAATAATTTTCATGGATTCATTTTCAGATTGAATTTACTTGTGCATATTTGCATGTTATTATGTTAAACACGGATTTTACATGGTCGTAGGAACGGAGGGGGAAGGTCCTTATATGCTTGTGTCCCCTCAATAATAAGTTTGATGCTATGTGGTCATTTGGTTGTGCCCTCCCCCCCCCCCCAATTGAAATTTGTTTTATTTTTTAAAAATTAAGAGAAAGGGTACACTACTTATTTTGACACTTTAGAGGCTTTTTTTTTCAACTGAACGATTTTAAAAAAAATCAACGCAGTTTCATTTTTATAGCAAATTATTGTCATTATTCCATTTAGCTTTAATTCTTAAAAACAGTCGTGAGAATGTGATAGAGTGCATGTAAACTTTATTTCAAAAATGTTCAATTCCCATGAATTGTTGTACAAATATCTTTATTTGTTCAGTCACTCCTATTCGTCTTGTTGATGGAGAAACTCCATACGAAGGGAGGGTTGAGGTTTATCACAATGGAGAATGGGGGACTGTTTGTGACGACTTCTGGGATAACAAAGATGCTTCAGTGGTCTGCCGATCGCTTGGGTTTTCTGCGTACGTAAAATTAAAGCAAATTTTTAAGATCATCCGAGTAACACTGGTGTCTTATTGCTGTCTGTTTTCGTCCGCATTCCGTTATTCGTCTCTTTTTAACGTTTATAAATTTTTAGTTTCTTGTCTAGAACAGCTATACTAATTTCAATTAATTTCGATATGTACATATGTAGCATCTGAGGGTAAGGGTGAACCAAAATTATAAATTTCACGGTCTCTGCCTTCTCGAGGCCTAAAGGATGAGGTCATATACATGTACTATAAATTATAATGCAGTCTTCAGAAAACATCTTTACACTTCAACATCAAGGAGTCATATGTTTGACATGCTTGTACAAACAGCAAATCCTTTATATCAAAACAGTGAAAGCCTTACCCCACAGTTAAGGCCCGAAGTGAGGCTTATTACTCATACTTCAGGATTATGATCCTAGACTGAAGTAGATTTTATCTTATATTGAAAATGCACCTTTCCCTTCGTTTCTCCATGACATCAATAAAACAGCATGTGTAAATGTTAATAATAGGGATGTGTATCGCAAAAAATTTCGTATCGTGATATATCACGATTTTTCTCCAAAATATCACGATAATATCGTGATATTTTTACACAGAATTTTTACTAGAATTTCTAATGAATTTCTATTATTTTTCTTACAAATACGCTGTAAAAACATAACTTCACTTTTTTCATTTTTTAAAAAATAATATAAAGCATATTTAGATGCCATAGTTTAACTTTTTTGAACATTTTTTAGACTTCCTGTAATTTTTATTTAATAATTCAAAGAAATAAATGAATAATTTCTTGAATTTTTAATTATGTACCAAATACCGGTATTTTAGTCTCCGTATCACGATACGTATCACGCAATAAAAAATCACGATATACCGGTATACCGATAAAATCGCGCATCCCTAGTTAATAATATGCAAGGAGCCCTCCACCCAAATTCTGAAATACCTGACCCCAGGGTTCAGATCACAGGGAGAGGTTAATTTTGTTGTATTTCGAAAATGAAAGGTATGTAAATCTTGTTTCCTCCTAGACATCAAGCAAGCAAACTGTTTTTAATTATTATAAAGAGCAAGTATTCTACTGTAAAACCTTGGCATTCATTTCCCCTGGTTTCAAGTCTCGGGGTGTTGGTAAGTTGATTATATGATTGATAATGAATACGTGTTTAAATTCGCTTTCTTTACCTCTGATCATCTATCAGGTGAACTATGCTATACACATGACTATATTGAGTATGCAAATACCAAACGTGTGAAATCCAGGTAACCTGGGACGAGGCCCTAGGATGAGGGAATGTTTATGATATTTTGAAAAAAATATATATTTTTTTAAATCCTCTGTTTTTCAAGACATCCAAAAGACGACTGTTGTAATGACAATATTGAGCAAATGGTTATCAACAAAAATAATAAAATTTCTGACCCTTCGGTCCATGATTCAAGTCCAGTGATGGAGGTACCTGTTATATGGCCATATATCGAAAATACATGACATATTTCACATCTCCTTCAGTCATCGACATAGTAGTCAAACTGTGTGAATGATTCTATATAACACATATCCCTTTATCAAAACTGTGAAAGACACAGTCTGTAGATCCATGACTCCTACCCCCGGGCTAGGTATATTTTCGCCTTATATTGAAAGCAATTGTATTGTTAGGAACATTAACAAGCATTAAGCAAACTCTTTGGATGATCCAATACGTAATTAACAAAAAAATTAAATAATGGACCTTGCTCTAGGTTTCTACCCCAGAAATGGATAGCTTTATTATTGAATTTACATCTCATCTTTTGATTATCCTTTTTAGCTCACCTGGGCCGAAGGTTCAAGTGAGCTTTTTTTTAACAGAAAGCTGCCCAGCGTCCGTCTGTCATGTATTGTCTGTCGTCTGTAAACTTTTCACATTTTCGACTTTTCAAGAACTACTAGGGCAATTTTAATTAAACCTGGCACAAAGCATCCTGGATAGAATTATTTAAGTTCAAATGAAGGGCTCTTTCCAAATGAGAATACAGAATAAGTGAAAATGTAATAACATCTTTTAAAAATCTTCTTCTGAAGAACTATTTCGCCAGAAAAGATTTATCTAAAGTAAAAACTTCGTTACATAGTGTAGAATCAAGTTTTTTCCCCAAAACATTACCTCGGGAATAAGGCGGGGCCATAATATGCAATCATAATTGTACATGGAATGATTAGGGAAAATCTTTTACAATCTTCTCTTCAAGAAGAGTAAAGCCATGATTAGTCATATATACATGTATATGGAAGCATCCTCAGGTAGTGTACATTCACGTTTGTTCAAATCATTATCCCCGGGTGTAGATTGGGTCAACAATAGGGTATCAAAGTTGTACACAATAGGGTATCAAAGTTGTACATAGGAATATATAGGAAAAATCTTTTTAAAACAGCAAAAACATGATTTATCATATTCATATGCTAGAGTTTTCTTTTAGTGAAGATTTCAAGTTTGTTTAAATCATGACCTCTGAGATTAGGGTGAAGATGACCAAAGTTTTACACAGGAATATATTTTGGAAAACATCTTCTGGACAACAGCAAAGCCATTTTCAGTGATAACAATGTGGAAACATCCTCAAGTTTTGTTGCTTAAATTTTTTCCACTCATACCCCCAGGGGTAGGGTCGGGCTACCATAGGTGATCAAAATTTTAAAATCAGTATTTAATTTTAAAAAATCTTTAATTTTTTTTTCTAATAAACAGCGAAACCACGATAAGGCCTATTGATATGCAAACATCCTCAAGTAGTTTATCCAGCTCATTATTATTTCATAATATATGAAAAATCATCAAAACCTTATTTTAGTCTATTTCATTACGTTTTTATAATTATTCTTAGTTCAGTGTATCAAATTATGATCATTGGCCTTAGTTAGTTTTCGTATGTATCTACAAAAACTTTCGGCATGCGACGTCGACAGGGCTACGTTATCAATTTATGCGTCGTCCATTTGGACAGAAATCAGTCAATTGGTATGGGCAATATTACAGGGGTTTTTTTTTTTGTTCATAACAAAAGCCGTATGAGGTATAAAGAACATGTTTAATCGTATGATTTTATCTCTGCTTTATCCAACGAGTTGAAATGATGACATATATATTCGCTCGGCAAGCCTCGTGAAAATAAACCATTTCAACTTGTAGGACATCCTCACGTCAGGGGTCCTGTGCTAACTCGTTGCCGATGGACCCCTGACAAATTTCATTCAACATCTTGACTTTTGGGGAAATTAATTTAAAATTTAAATTTAAAATTTTTTTACCATCTCTCAACAAATCACATTAAGCCTTTCGGTCTTTTCGGTGATAAGCAATGAGTGATACGTGTTTTTTAGGTGTCAAGTGATTCCTTTCTTTTTACGTAATCTGTATACTTCAAATTGATTGGTGCTTCTCTATGAGAAAAGCAAGTCCGAAGATATCGAATGAAATTTTCGGGATCTATCGGCAACGAGTTGACACAGGACCCCTGACATTGTGAAGATGCTCGTTGGATAAAGCAAATATAAATGCACACAATACAGATATCTTCTTTGTATTGCAAAAGTATTTGATTCTATGCTTTAAAAGTCAAAGAAAAGTAAAAAATTCATAATACGAAATATCATGATTTTTTGATTATTTGCTTACAGAAATGGTTCGACAGCATTTAGTAGGGCATATTTTGGAGAGGGTAATGGCTCTATTTGGATGGATGATGTTTATTGCTCTGGAAATGAAGAACGAATTGAACTGTGCCGACATATCGGGTGGGGACAACATAATTGTCGCCATTATGAAGATGCGTCCGTCATATGCCAAGCTGGATCATGTAATATTTATTTTCAATAAATCCTTGTTAAATCAGAATCTATAGTGGTAATATCGTTGTTACTCTCTTTCAAGAGCCTTCTTCATGTGAAATGTTTAGATATATCTAGAAATGAAATATTCAATTGAAGGTTCAGATTTCAAAATGTTATATTTTTTTTTTGGAAGATGACCAAACAGAGTAAAAAAATATTAATTTGTTTTTACTTTTCATTCAGTCAGTCCAGTGCGGCTTGTCGGAGGAGAAACTCCATACGAAGGTAGAGTAGAGATATACCGTAATGGAGTATGGGGGACAGTTTGTGATGATGCTTGGGATGATTTGGATAGTATGGTGGTCTGTCGCTCTCTGGGATATCCCACGTGCGTATTTTCTCTTTTACGTATTTTAGCTCATCTGGACCAGAGGGCCAAGTGAGCTTATGCCATCACTTAACGACTGTCTTCGTCTTCGTTCGTCGTCGTCGTACACTTCTTTCAAAAATCTTCTCCTTTCAAACTACTTTGATTTTTCTTTATAACAATAATATGGGGCATGTCTTCTAGAAATAATCCACCTTTCATTTTGAAGAAATAAACTCATTAAAAGTTGTGATGTGAAATGTATCTCTTTTTTGTGTAGTCAGAATGATTTTGTTTTAAAATTAAAATTGACAACACCAAAAATATCTAAAAATATTACAACATGGACTGAATTTTATTTTCATTAATAAAACTTGCGATTCACCTTTTAAGGTGAATTTTGAAATAACATCTGAGGGCTTGTGAATATTTCAGAAAAAAAATAATAAAATATTTGACTCTCAGAGAATATTGTCTGAATCTTTATATCTCTTGCATAATAGATGAAAATCTATATTGCGATTCGAGAATTGTTGCTGATCTCTTTAGGATTGTAATGATCTTTTACCAACAAATTTGACTCTTTGATTAAAATATATTCTATTTCTTATCAATTGTCAAAAATTGCATAAGAAATATTTTAAGTGTTTCCGGGAAATGTCGTCTTTGCCATCAATCATATCTCATTAGGAAGTGCTCTCATATTTTTTGTTTCATATTTTGAATTTCAGAGAGGGCGCCAGAAGCTTTCAGTCTGCTTTCTTCGGTCAAGGATCGGGTCCTATTCTGTTAGATAATGTTAACTGCCACGGATCCGAGTCAAACCTTGAGGAGTGTCCACATAATGGATGGCAAACTCATAACTGTGTCCATCAGGAAGATGCCTCCGTCAGATGTTCAGAGGGTAAAAATGATTTTAACATTTGTTTTCTTTGCTTCATTAACTTACTCTGAACTTCATGCGTTTTGAATACTTTCAAATCAGTTACAACAAATTTTAATCTTTTGGACTTTATAAACACACCACTAGTTTTTTTATTGAAACTTTATAAGTACTCTGAATTTTACGGACATTTTTTTCTCAAACAGCCCATGTTCCAACACCATCAACATCATTTTCACTTCCGCAAACAGCTACAACGGAACAGGCTTCAACAGCCCCAGAAAAGTCTTCCATGACACAAAATCTAACAACTGTTACCATGACGCACAATCCTACTACGACGACCACACAAGCTCAAAGAGCAACACCAACCACTTTACAAGCACCATCGACAATAACCACCAAACAATTTTTTACAACGACGACAACAATGGTGCAAGCTCCATCAACAAAAACTACGAAACAAGTTCCAACATCAACCACAACACAAACTCCATCAACGACTACCACAAGCAACGTCCCAACGACTAAAATAACACAAGGTACAACGACAACAACACAAGGACAATCGATAACAACCATTACAACAATAGCACAGGATAAAACAACTACGAAAACAACGATACAAACTCCAGCAATGACAAACATAGAACAAGATCCAACAATAACAACCACAGCTCAGGTCCCAACGACAACAACAACTGCACGAGCTTCAACGATAACACACGATCCGTTGACTAAATCAACGACACAAGGTACAACAACGAAAACTAAGACTCAAGCACCAACAAAAATAACCACAACACAAACTTTATCAACGACAACCACAACCAAGGCTCCAACGACGACAGGGACTGCACATAGTCTAACAAAACCATCAGTCCAGGATCCATCGACAACAATCACTACTTCGCCAGCCCAAACAACGACGATAACTATAGCACAAGATTTCAGAACTAAGACAACAACGATACACAATCCAACAATCACAACACAAGCTCCAAAGACTTCAACAGTAATACAAGCTCAAAACACAACATTTTCACCAGGAGTTTTAACAACGACGAAAACCAAAACGGAAGCTCCATCACCAACAACTGCAACACAAGCTCCAAGGCCAACAGCCACGACAGAGATTCCAGGAGTGACAATAAATGCAGCACAAGCACCAGTGACAACCACAACACAAAATCCAATAACGACAACATCCACGACACAAGCTCCAAAGAAACCAACCACTACACAAGCTCCCTCAACAGCCACGCAGCATACTCAAACAACAGCAACCATAACTCAAGCTCCAACAACGACAACCACAGCACAACTTCCAACAACAACCATAACACAACCTCCAACAACATCAACCACAACACATGCTCTTACAACAACTACAACATATGATCCAACAACAACCACCACAACACAAGCTCCAACAACAGCGTCAACCACAATACAATCTCCAACAACGACAACCACAATACAAACTACAACAGCGTCAACCACAACACAAGCTCCAACAACGATAAACACAACACAAGGTCCAACAATAACAACAGCAACACAAGCTCAAACAACGACCACCACAACACAATTTCCAACAACAAAGACAACCACAATACAATCTCCAACAACGACAACCACAACACAAACTACAACAGCGTCAACCACAACACAAGCTCCAACAACGACAACCACAACACAAGGTCCAACAATAACAACAGCAACAAAAGCTCAAACAACAACCACCACAACACAAGCTCCGACAACTTCAACCACAACACAAGCTCCAACAACAACCACCACCACACAAACTCCAACGACATCCACCACAACACAAGCTCTGACAACTTCAACCACAACACAAGCTCCAACAACAACCACCACCACACAAACTCCAACGACATCCACCACAACACAAGCTCTGACAACTTCAACCACAACACAAGCTCCAACAACAACTACCACCACACAAACTCCAACGACATCCACCACAACACAAGCTCCGACAACTTCAACCACAACACAAGTTCCAACAACAGACACCATCACACAAACTCCAACGACATCCACCACAACACAAGCTCCTACACCGACAACTACAACACAATCCTCAACAACAACCACCACAACACAAGCTCCGACAACTTCAACCACAACACAAGCTCCAACAACAACCACCACCACACAAACTCCAACGACATCCACCACAACACAAGCTCTGACAACTTCAACCACAACACAAGCTCCAACAACAACCACCACCACACAAACTCCAACGACATCCACCACAACACAAGCTCTGACAACTTCAACCACAACACAAGCTCCAACAACAACCACCACCACACAAACTCCAACGACATCCACCACAACACAAGCTCTGACAACTTCAACCACAACACAAGCTCCAACAACAACCACCACCACACAAACTCCAACGACATCCACCACAACACAAGCTCCGACAACTTCAACCACAACACAAGCTCCAACAACAGACACCACCACACAAACTCCAACGACATCCACCACAACACAAGCTCCTACACCGACAACTACAACACAATCCTCAACAACAACCACCACAACACAAGCTCCGACAACTTCAACCACAACACAAGCTCCAACAACAACCACCACCATACAAACTCCAACGACATCCACCACAACACAAGCTCTGACAACTTCAACCACAACACAAGCTCCAACAACAACCACCACCACACAAACTCCAACGACATCCACCACAACACAAGCTCCGACAACTTCAACCACAACACAAGCTCCAACAACAGACACCACCACACAAACTCCAACGACATCCACCACAACACAAGCTCCGACAACTTCAACCACAACACAAGCTCCAACAACAACCACCACCACACAAACTCCAACGACATCCACCACAACACAAGCTCTGACAACGTCAACTACAATGCAACCTTCAACAACGACACCCACAACACAAGCTCCAACAACAATCATAAAACAAGGTCCAACAACATTAATCGCAACATATGCTCCAAAAACAGCAACAACAAATGCTCTAGCAACAACCACAACAACACAAGCTCTAACTACGACAACCACAACAAAATCTCCAATGACAACCACATCACAAGCTCTGACAACCACAACAACACATGCTCCAACAACAACAACAACACAAGGTCCAACGACAACCACCACAACACAAGCTCCTACACCGACAACTACAACACAATCCTCAACAATGACAACCACAACACAAACTTCAGTAGCATCAACCACCACAAAACAAGCTTCAACAATGACAACCACCACACACGCTCCAACTACCACAACACAAGCTCCCTCAACAACCACCAAAACACAAGGTCAAACAACGACAACCACAACACAAGCTCCAACAACTACAACACAACCTCTTACAATAACAACCACAACACAACCTCCAACAACAATCATAATACAACCTCCAACAACATCAACTCCAACAGATGCTCCAACAACAGCCACAACACATGCTCAAACAACGACATCCACAACACAATTTCCAACAACGACAACCACCACACAAGCTCTGATAACCACAACAACCACACAGCCTCCAACAACGACCACAACATCAATTCCAATGACAACCACAATGCAAGTTCAAACGACAACCACCAAAACACAAGCTCCAACAACTACAACCACAACACAAGCTCCAACAACAACAACCACACAAGCTCCAACAACAACAACCATAGCTTCGACAACTACTTCTTTATACCAAGCACTAGGTAAGATGTTCAGTCTCATCAGAGACCTTTACAGAGAAGAACTTCGCACGCTAACTCTCGATTCCCGCCTACATTTTATCCCCATGTAATTCAGTATAAATGGCATTTTGGCCATTAAAACTTTTTTGAGTGCAAAGAAGAGTTCAATAGTAATTGAGTTAATTCCCCTTTTTTACAACTCTTTTCATCAAGGGGGTAGAAAATTTGGTCCATTGAAATGCGGCTTTAAAACATCACTAAATTTTGAAATATGCACGGAAATGGATAAATGATCCTTATATCTTTCCTTATGTTACAATTATGTAAATTCAAAGTATGATTGATAAAGTACATGTTTTAAATTTGCTATCAAAAAGTTTTGTTGAGAATATGTGAAATAACAATCCATATTATCATATTTCCATATTACAAAAAGGAATTTTGGGGGGGGGGAGGGGTGTTTTAAAAATATTTTCCGTTGATTTCTAAACGAAAAACACAAGTTTTACCAAAATTACAGAGTTATCTCTCTTTTTTTCCAAAATAAGTAATGTTTTATGAAAATTCATATGAATATCTATATAAATATGAAAAATCATTCAAATCTGTTAACTTTTGAAAATTGACTAGCAGGTAGGCGGGAGAATAATACTATCGTTCGAAGTTCTTTTTCATTTCATTTACATTACCACCCTGTTTTACAGAGAGTTTTACGTTTGGTGAGGAAGTTTCTGATTCGAGTTTAAGCGGGGATGATGTAACAAGTCCAGCCCTGAATACTCCAACACATATTTACATTGGGGATGGAACAGAGGGATCTTTTGACACCATTTACGTATGAATGTTTTTTTACAACTCTAACTGCCAATTCATTGAAAAAAGGAGAAAAAAAATGTTTTACTTCAAGTATATAATTACAAAAACCTTCAATCTTCAGGAGTTTGACAATATATTGCTTAGTTACACATAAACACAAAATCAACATTCTTACATACTGTGACGTCAAAAAGCGCTAATATTATGTCAAACTGCTAAAGGTTGAAAATGAAACCGATAGAGTTTATTTCGGTTTTGTGATTTTTTTGATATAGGACTACGTGTGTGGATTTACACTATACATTTCTGATATATATATATATATATATATATATATATATATATATATATATATATATATATATATATATATATATATATATATATATATATATATATATATATATGTATGTATGTATGTATGTATGTATATAATTAATTTCAGGTTGGAAGTAATGGAATAATAAGTCTTAATGAAAGATATAATAGTTTCTCTATATCTGAAATTACCTCTTCATTCGTGAGCCAGAGGAGAATTATCTGCCCGTTTTGGACGGACCTTATATCTGGAAATAGAGTCTACTATAATACATATACAAGGTGTCATCTTTTAGTTTTCATTCAGACTTGTGCAATTTATATCACATCCTTATTCTCTTATTTCCTTCGCAGTGTTCACACTACCAAGTTCTTTTTCTTTTTTCATTTTTTTTTGCTTTCCTTTTTGACTTTTTTCATTTGTGTTGTTGTTCTGGTATAAATGTGGGGAATGAGGACTGTGTTTTTATTTTAAATTCTAAATATTGTGAATTTACAATCAATTAGCAACTATAAAATTATTTTTGATAGCTGACGACAAAGCACAGAATTGTCTTTATTACACTTTAAAAATATCGTGCACATTTTTTATGATAAATAATATTAATTTAAAAAATAAACAAATTAAGTGACAAGAGGCAATATCATTAACATATGTCATTTCATCTTCCTAACCTTCCACAGAGGAGTTTGGGGCGACCAGCAAACATTAGATAAAGCAAACCGTATAATTAGAAGACATTACAGAGACGATTACCAGAGTTTCGAAGCAATATGGATGCTGAAAGTAACATGGAAAGACATGGCTCTGTTTTCAAACAGAACACAGGTAGCTCATGCGAAATTTAATAAAACACAGTATTTAAAAAAAAAAAATACAAAAAGATGACATGTGTCTCACCGATAATGTTGATTATGAACTCTGCGATAACATATCTTTCAGAACGTAACAGTGCAAGCTGTTTTGGTAACGGATGGTATGAACACATTTACTACCTTTTATTACATTGATGTGAACCTAGTGTTTGTCAGTGGACTTGATATTTCCGTGGGATACAGATATAGGAGTTTCTTCACGAGCAATCCATACTCTGGTCAAAGAGGAGCCTTCCGCCTCAGTCAAATACCAGGCAACAGGGGTAAAGAGCCAATTTTATGATCTACTTCCGACGAATATTATGCATTGGTCAAATGTCTACTATTCTTCCGTTATTTTTTTTCCTCTGAACTGAATACGGCTTGTTAGATTTCACAGAGAAATAAATATAATTATATCCGTCGAATTTTAATTCGATCAATTGACACTGATATTGAATATATCACCAGTTGAAACATTTTCAAACTGCTTTTCTTTCGATTGTTCAATCTAGTATGGAACATAACACAAATTAACAATAAGATTCTTTTTTATACGGTAAAACTCGGTTTTAACGAAGTCACATTGGGCCTGTGAAATTACTTCGCTGTATTCGTAATTCGCTATATCCGTATTCGTTCTAAACGAGTTTTACTGTAATCACAATGTCATTTCAATGAACGACGGTTTTCATTGCTGCTTAATATAGGAAATCGCTTAAATTATTCAATTGCTTATGTGTGATTTTATCGAATCCTGATACAAATGAAATACAGAAAAAATGCATTATCTTTAGTATCTGTTTCATTTTTCATGAATGGTGATATCGTCACCTTGACTAAAATTGCTAGAAAATTGTTGTATAATGCTACACTGAGGTTGGTACGTGGAAAATGCATTGTTTGTCCTTTCCTTTTTAGTTTACTTAAAATTAAGAATGATTTCCGAAGCAGCAATGATAACGTTTAGCGTTAGTTTTATTAGCCAGATTTGCTGCAACTCTTTTCCACCGTTAAAAACCTATAAAACAGACTTAGCTCGTATGTTTTTTTTACTATATTACCCAAATGAAACATCATGCTGCTTTTCTGCATTTATGTATATATAGTTACCTATTTTTATAGGAAATTTGGGATTTTGGATATACAAATTGACAACAGATATACAATATTCAGGAAATGAACTTTCGTGCTTCAATTGGTACATTAGAAATAGGAATCAGCAAATGGACACAATTCTTCGCAATCGCAGGCAGTGGTGGTCAAACATTTGTCCTTGTCAAATTGATTGGTTGCTATTTGATGGTGGATTCCAATATTCAAGAACTGATTTAGCGAATGGTGTAATATGTTATGCATCCATGATGTCTTTCACAGGAAGTGCAGTAAGTAATATTCGTTTTTAGTGCTATGTTTGTATATGAATTATTAAAAAACAAATTTCCAAGCAGTATAGTGAAAGAAACTATTCTTCTTCTAGTCTCATCCTTTTTTTAAACAAGCTTATTACATTTGATTGAATAACCAAAAAAAATCAAAATAGAAACATGTTTATTTGCCAAGGAATGTTGTTATCCAATCCGTAACTTTTGGTTTGGGTGGTTTGGATGGTCTTGGTGGTCCATTGGATGGTTTGGGTCCACCACCCGTACTTGGACAAGACCAGCAGCTGGAACTCTCCTAGAGTACAGCCCATTTTTTGAGACATCGCAGCATTACAATGAGGATCTTTTACCTAAAGATCATTGTTGTAGTTCTGGACATTGTGATTGGTATTATGAAGTTCGACCAAGAACTTGGTGTTATAGGGCATCCATTTTTTGGATCTGTGAGTATTTGTAATATACTATACGTAATATCTTTCACTACATAAAAGTATTAACAAGATGCTTAATGATTATCATTGTTTGTAATACGCATGTTTTTGCTGATATTCTATAAAACTATTGAGAACTACATGACATAAATACGGTTGAGAAAGACTGATTGTTCTTATTGTCCTAATCCTGCATATTCGATCTTTATGTTTTGAAACTGGAGAAACACATCCATCACAGTTTGCAAATCTGTAGATCTCAGTCACTTTTGTGTTGATTTACTTAAAAGCTTGGTTATTTGGAGACCCACACATTAACACACTTGATGGACACCAGTATACATTCAATGGATATGACGAATACGTCCTAATGAGGATAAATACGAACGGGAAACAATTTGAACTGCAAGCTAGAACAGACATGGCAGAGGGAGCCAATGGTACAACAATCAATGCAACTATATTTAGTGCATTTGCTGCCAGGGATGACACAGGCTCCTTTGTCCAAGTGGAACTCTCCCGACATAAAGATAGTGAGTTAAATTTTATCAGAAATTTTAATTAGTTAAAGAAAACTATGAATTATTGAATTTTGCAAATTAACTCCGAAACGCCTGCACCAGAGTTCATAACTACTCCTCTCATATTACATTAGGCATGATATAATGTCCGTGAACTATATTCAGATTTCCCTTGCATAGTAATTTTCGTAAATTTAATTAAAAGTCTACTTTCATTTTCGATAAACAGTCGTGAAATAGCAAAAAAAAAAAAAAAAAAAAAAAAAAAAAAAGAATACGGTGGTGGTCCCGGTTGGCGGATCTAAGTTAGTGACAATTTTGACTGAAAGTGACAACAAGCAATCGTTTAGTTATTTGATTAAACATCGTTAATGAATTATTCAATCAAAAATTGATCAAAGTGATATAGAATAAATAAATTTTGATTACTGATTAAAAAATAAAATGTGCAAATCCTTTTCGTTCATATCTGATCTTGACTCTTTATGGAAATTTCTAGAACCCAGAAGGCATCGATCCCGATGTTAAAAAGAATATAAGGCGATAATCACTACATGAATATTTGAAAAAACTTTAATGATTAATGTCGGAGGTAGGAGGAAAATTCTTTTTTCAGACATAATAACTATATCAATGCTGAATTTTCACAATTTATTTTCTGGAATGCATAAAAAAAAACTTTCCTGGACTTTTGAGTCGGGCCATTTTTAGCCAGTCGGTCGGGAGAGGGCAACCAAACAAATTTTTGAAGATGGCCTTGTGCTTAGAAATGTACCTGTAAAATGTGCATATTCGCCACGGAGAGCATAATGGCAACGAACCCGAAGTATAATTTTAATATAGACTTGTTAAAGAGAAAAGTCAATAAATGAATAAGTTATTGTTCAAATATATGAAGTAAAAGTGATTATTGTTCAAATATAAGAAGTAAAAGTGAGATATTCTAAGTTTTCATATGTTTACTAATTTAAAAGCTGTTAAAAATTTTTCCTTTAATCAATATCTTTCGGAGGGGGTTGGGGGCCTACATACAGTCTTTGATAATATTAAATACTAGGGTGAAAAGCTAATTTTACCAAAAAAATCAGTAAAATGTGCATATTAACTTATTTTATCCTTGAAGGAAATTGAAACAAAGTTTTAGAAGTATAACATGTAATAACATTGTACAACAGGTATCAAAATAATTTGCTTACATGTAAAGAGAACATATCAATGAAACTAATATTTTTAAGTCAAAAATTGAAGGAAAGAAGGGGGTGGGGTGTATCTTATCTACGTTAGCTCCTAAACTACTTGCGGGATTTTGTACAAAGTATTTTTCCTGCTATAAGTCAGTCATTAAATGTCAATATTAGCAACAATTCAATTCCCCGCGCTTGCGCAGGATTTCATCTAGTTCTCATTAACTTTGACAGGAAACATCAGACTGAAAGTGCAGATCAAATTAATTTCTTAAAAAGGTTGAGAAGGAGAGGGGTTTTAATTATGTTTTTGGTTTCAATTTAGAAATGTACATTCGAGGAAATGATCAAGATGTAACAAACAATTTTGAGGATGATAGTTCATATAGATATTTCACCAGATATTTGGCCATTATAAAAGAAAACCAAACATACATGGCTACTTTCCTAAACTCATGTAAGTAACTGATCGTACATACAAATGATCTTATTTAAATTCAAAACACATTATTGAGTTTTATTTATTTGACGTCTGTAAAAAGTAAAAATAAAATACTTTTTGGTATTTAAAGCTATAACAATAAAGGTAACGTTAGGAGTACGGTTTCTGACAATTGAGGCAGTAGTGGATTCCAAATACAATGGAAGTGTTACTGGGCTAATGGGCAACTTTGACGGAGATAAAACCAATGACTTCATTCTTCCTAATGGAACTATCTTACAACAAGAGGAACTCAACTCGGAGAGAAAAATTTACTACAGATTTGGACAGATGTGTACGTTCTTTTTAAATATTATTTTTATTTATTTCTGTGCTTAAGTTCTTTTGTATGAAGTCTATTTAAACAATACAAATAAGGAGCAGACCAGACACGGACCTCTAAAACATCAGAGTTGGGATCAGGTGCCATGAAGGGGTATGCATCCCCTGCCGTCCTGTCACACTCGCCATGTGCTCCTCCATGATCGGGAAATAAACGGAAAAATCCGTACACAATTCAGTGTGTAAATAATAGCCTAACAATTGGTAGAAAAACGTCATTCAGCATTTGATTTAATGATAGATTGTATTTGTTGACAAGGTCATTGTATATCATTACAACATATTTACATTTTGACCTACTGTAGGAAAAACGATGAAAGCATGGTTAATTATAGTACATATACATGTACCATGGTTAAGTATAGTATTTTGTTTTGGGTATATTCATTGATTAGACCATTCCATACCACCATTCAATTTTTAAATTTTCAGGGGCTGTAAACGACTCTACGTCCATCTTTCATTACGGTTCAGGACTATCGCATGACGACTATTCTCATCCTGACTTTGTGCCCTTCTTTGTTGATGAGTACCCAGAGGATCAGAGAAACGCTGCTCGTGAGGCCTGTGGTGGGGAATCGGCTTCCCAGGCGTGTATTTTTGACTTTTTGGCAACAGGAGATAAAGCTCTTGCTCTATCTTCAGGAAATACAGATAGCTCCAACAAAAAGGACCTCATCAATATTGGTAAATAAATGTTGTTTTCTGCTTCATGACAACATATTTTTCTTTGACTCTGTTATTTAAAGTTGGAAAGAAATTTTAACCAGACATCCACACTCTATTAATCTTTTGATGATAGAAAACCAGCCACCTTTTATTGACGGTGACGAAGTTATTCATGCAGAAGTAAACAAAAGCGTAAGGATCAGCTTTAACGCATCAGATGATAAGAGCTATACCTATCAGGTGCTAAAGCAACCTTCTACTGGCTTCTCTTTTGACAATTTGACTGGTATAGCTTCTTGGACACCAACAAATACTGACTTCACTAGCATAAGGTAAGATTTTCTTTTGTCTTTTTTAATATAATATTTGAATTGGATTATACTGAACCAACAAGAACACTTTTTAAAGGTAAGAAAACATGTACAGATAAAAACAGAGGCTTGTTATGCATCGACTATTTTAAAATAATTTGTCGCAGGAAAATCTTTTTGACAGTAGACGTAGTTTGTCTTTGCATCCTTCTGAATATCAGTCAGATATTAGATACATGTAGAATAAAAAGTAGACTGTTAGCATTTTTCTGCAATTTATATTTATTCATCTACATACACGAATGTATAAATAATTGAATTTATAATATGTATTCTACATACACGAGTGTTCTTGTTTCTTTTTTCAGTATAACAGTAATTGACAGTGACGGTGTTTCCGCCCCAGCAATGGATGTTATAGTGATATTGTGTAGCTCATGTAGTCATCATGGTGTGTGTGAATACAATAGAACACGTGACATTTCAAACAGTACATTCAGGCTTGCCAGCTGTGTATGTAACAAAGGATACACGGGTATGCAAGAGCAAATAAAATAATTTTTTTATATATCTAAAACAGTGTATGATACATTTACTGAATGTATGCAAAGACCAGAAAGAAATAAGCTGTGTAAATAGATTTCTATTCTTGTCTTCTATATCGATTTTATAGGTGACGATTGTGAACTTGACTCTGACGCATGTACGGATAGTCCTTGTCCTCTTGGACGTAACTGTACAGACCTTCCAGCAGAGGAGGAATTACGGATTGGCAGAGGATACAACTGTTCAGACTGTCCTGAAGGATATGCAGATGTTGACAACAAATGTCAAGGTACCATTTGAAAAATTGTTTTATTAACCTGATTCCATCCCTGTATTTCGAATAGAACTTTATTGACACGTTCTCTTCAGACATCAATGAGTGCAACTCCACTTCATCTAATCAATGTGAGCAAGTATGCGAAAACACAGAAGGAAGTTTCGAATGTCATTGCTTTAACGGCTACCGCATGAGTGATGGTTCCTGCCAAGGTATGGTATTTTTTTTTCTCTCCGATCAATACAAATAAATTTGAAATCTTCTTACTGAACTTACGTAAATAGATATTTGTAAAATCTAGACAGAGAATTCACCTTGCAGTATATTTTTGTTTTGCAGATATTGATGAATGTGTTGAGGGAACATCGAGATGTGAGCAGAAGTGTGACAACAGTGCTGGTTCTTTTATTTGTTCCTGCGTCACAGGTTTTGAACTTAGAGAAGACAACACCTCATGTCTGCAAACAGGTTTCTACCTTGCATACCATTTTGTAGAAGTCGTGTTTTTTTCTCATAAGATTTTTATCAACCTATAACAATCAATTGAGAATCATTTCATTACGTGTACACCTTACTGATTTCAGAAACGGACATATGTAAGCTTGTTGGGCTATCCTGTCAGTATGCCTGTGATAACATTACCGGTGTCTACAAATGTATTTGTCCTGCTGGTTATAAGCTTTCCAACAATAACAATAATTGCACGAGTATGTGAATGCATTTTAAGAAATAATTTTAAATAATTAATAAACATCGTTCAGTTATAATTAAACAGCAAAGCGTTTTATTTGATCGTTTTATTGTCAGATATCAATGAGTGTGAACGTGGGATTTGTTCACAACACTGTGTGGATACTGATGGATCCTACAGATGTTCGTGTTATGTTGGATACAGGCTGAACGAGGACCAGACAACGTGTTCCGGTAATTAAGTTTTGTATTCTCGTAATGTTCTACGTGTCATTGTTCTGTATCATTATCACTGTATATGTAAAAACAAAACAAAATTGAATTTTAACAGGGCCTTTGTCTGTTAAACTAATTTGGTTTAAGCAAAGAACAAATTAAATGCCGAATACATTTCTTTACGAAAATTATCACACTGTTAGGAAGTCCGTAGCTAGGTGCTCAAAATATGTTTAATTGTTTTATATAATTTTTCGTAAAGAGTCCGATTTATGTACACAATACGTCACTGAAGATTAAAAGTGAGTTAATGGACTATGAGAACATAAGCAATGGATTTAATCAGTTCCTTTTCCAGTGGCTAGAATTAAACAGAAATTTATCGGCGTCCAAATATCATTGTACTTGTCAAGAATATCTTTCAAACAGTAAATACATGCAATTTGAGAATTTATTAGGCTAGTGGCAAGGGTGCATGATTTCTGACAAGATACTTACAGGAAAATGATACTTCTTCAGAATGTGATGCTCCGAACTTCGGAGAAGGTTGCAGTCAGATGTGCCAATGCGGTGCTGGAATGGACAGGTGTGATCCGGTACATGGGTGTGTCTGTTTAGCCGGATGGACAGGGTCAGACTGCAGCCATGATGTCAATGAGTGCATCATTAATCAAACCATTTGTAGTACAGATAAAATATGTCACAATTTACAAGGGGGTTACAGGTGTGACTGTCGCCATGGATACAGAAAGGTTGCAGATAGATGTGTCGGTTTGTAACCACTCTTTCGTGTTTCATTCAAGCTAATATGGCTATAAGCAATTATTAATCATTTTCAAAGAATGGTAGAAATTTATGTGTAAGGAAGTATAGCAAACAATAAGATGGTAATTTTCTTTGTTAAGTACATGTGTTTTTCAAGGAGATGACCATTTTGCAATGATTTTAGATGTGGATGAGTGTACAAATGCTGGATCTAACAACTGCTCCTCTGTTGTATCTATCTGTGAAAATAAAAATGGGGGATTCGGCTGTCAATGCAAGACTGGATACATCCAGAAAAATGCATTCGAGTGTGAAGGTCAGATGTTATATTTCACTTTCCTCTTTGCAAAGTTGAAACAACATTATAATTTTTTTTATTAACTAGGCTATATTTGCTTTCATGTTATATTAGTAAAGGCTTGGCTTAATTGTAGACTTTGATGAATGCGAAGCCAATGTTGACGGTTGTACTCAGATCTGTAACAACGTAAATGGAAGTTATGATTGTGATTGTCATTTTGGATTCTCCCTGAACGATGACAGAAAAACATGCTCAAAAGGTGATTTATTAAATAAATATACATGTATATTATTTTTAAGAAGATTGAATCATGATAAATCAGTGTTCCTATTTTGCACGTGGGTTTTTTTGGTATTTTTTCATTCTTTCTTTTACAGTTCAAGATATATGTCTTCTCTTCCCTGGATTAAACTGCAGCTATGGATGCAAACAAGGCCAACATAATCAAACACAAGGAATGTGTTTCTGTCCAGAGGGATATCTACTCAGCAAGATTGACAAGTCGTCATGCGTAGGTGCGAAACGTTTCCCAAAATCTCAGATTTAACTTTATACGTTTTTATGTAGATTCCCTGTATTTTCACCTGTTCTTTGTTATGTTCCAGATGTAAACGAATGTGCAAATATCACTTTGAATAAATGTTCCTTGAAAGACACATGTGTAAATACTCCAGGCTCTTTCAGCTGTTCTTGTCCAGAAGGCAGGTTCTTGGAAAACGATGGAAGGACTTGCAGTGGTATACATTAAGTTTAGGATAACATTTTCATTTTATGTAGATAAATTCTCCTTTATGTTCATGGCGTTTCTCTCCTGTTATCTGTTATTAACATATTCGCGCATATATTTTTCCCTTTTTTCACCAATAACTTCTAAACCTTGATTAAATATTTTTCTGATCATTATGTATTTGTTTTAGTGTGTGACGTTTTCTCCTATGGTTGGAACTGCAACACCCCTTGTGAATGCGGAGCAGGTGCTTCACATTGTGACCCTGAGACTGGTTGTCAGTGTAGGACTGGTTGGATTGGCACCAAATGCAATGCTGATGTAGATGAGTGTTCGACGGAAGATCCTTGCACCATGGCTTATCAAGAATGTCACAATATTCCTGGTTCTTATCAATGCGTCTGTCAGAAAGGATTTGAAGAGAGATCTGGGAATTGTGAAGGTAAAAATTCTAATTCAGTAAGCAACTTTGATTTTGCTATTGGTCCAAATCGTTTTCAGCTTTGATTTTTGCCTTTTTTCATTTATTCATTCTTCATTGCCTTGCTTTTCCAAAACTTATTGAGACATTTCAATCAGATATTGATGAATGCGTGAACCGCCCTTGCTCTCAACTGTGCAATAACACTATCGGAGGTTACTCATGTGACTGCTTTAATGGGTTTCAACTTGTTGGTGAAAGTCAATGTGTTGATATTGATGAATGCAGCTCTCCAATCAAGCCATGTGATCAAGTTTGCACAAATACGCTAGGCAGCTTCAAGTGCAGTTGCCATGTCGGGTATTTCTTGAATACAACAAATAGAAGAGATTGCTATGGTAAATACTGAAACCTTTGAGTACATTATACTCTGCATTTTTTTTTTATTATTATTACTATTTTTTTTATTATTGTTGTTTTCAAAAATTCTTTAACATTTTGTAGCAAAGACTGAATGTTCAAATGCATCTGCATCCTGTTCTCAGAAGTGTGGAGTTAAAACTGATGGGTCAGAGTACTGCTTCTGTGAAAATGGCTACTTATTAGATGTAGCAGATAACCGAACATGCATCGGTAGAAATACTTTTTGCGATTTGCAAGAACTTTTTTTAAGGGTTTTCTATTTTGAATGTACATATTAGAAAGACACATGTATTTACATGTTTTATTGTAAAATGAATTTCATGACAATATAATTCCAGATCAAGATGACTGTTCACCCAATCCCTGCAGTCAAACGTGTGTTCAGAATGCACCTGGTCAGGGTTACTGGTGTACCTGTGAAGTAGGAAAAATGGTAGATCAAGACAAACGTACATGCATAGGTAATATGAAAACAAGAGTTTAATATAAAATAAAAAAAATTACTATCGATCTTTTAAAATTATTTCTTAATTAAAATGAACTTAAATTAAATGAAATTACATGTAACCTTGAATCATCATTTATTTGCTTTGCTTTGATTAGATTGTACAAAGTGGAGCTTTGGTCTCAATTGTGCCAATCAGTGTTCCTGCAACATTCAAAACTCCATGTCTTGTGATCGTGTTACTGGTGCTTGTACATGCAAACCAGGATGGAGTGGAACAAACTGTGAGAGTGACATTAACGAGTGTAACCAATCAGATGCTTGTCCCCAGTCCTCTACGTGTGCTAATTCCGTTGGCTCTTATACTTGTTTGTGTGATGACGGCACAGCCATGGCGGATGGAATCTGTATTGGTACGTTTATCAATATTGATAACAGATGTCCAGAGATTCACAGTGGTCGTTATTATAATAGTAATATAATGAAAAATAATTCAAAAAGAAAACACGAAAAAAAAGAAAACACGAAAAAATTAACACAGTAAAGGTTTAGCGCTATCATTTACAAATCTTAGTTTGTAAATGAAAGCGCTAATGAAAGATTTGTAAAGGAAAGCGCGTTTTCTTTTTGAATTACATGTCTTTTCAATACTGATATATACATAATGGGTAGAATGCTTTTAAGATATAAATTAATCGCACTGATATTGAAATGGTTATCTCTGCCAGATAATAATGAACATTTAAATTTGCTTCCAAAACGTAACTGATATTTTGATTATGTTTAATTTGTCTTCAGAGTGTTCTGGAAACACGTACGGACCAAATTGTGAATTCCAATGCCAATGTGATCGAAGAAACACAATGATATGTGATAAAAGCAACGGTACCTGCTATTGTCGAGAAGGCTGGACAGGTCTTAATTGTTCTACAGATTTACACGAATGTACTCTAACTCCTAATATCTGTGGTGGGAATGCAGTTTGTATTGAACAGCCGGGTTCCTTCAGCTGTCAGTGTGTTCCAGGCTTCGAAAAAACTTCCTCCAGAAGTTGTTTAAGTATGTTAACTAGGCCACACCAATAAAAAAGTTTTTGTTCGTCGGACCCGCGCGCTCGTATTTAAACAAAACTATACAAATAATATTAATTTAAATTTCCACACCATGGAAATTCTGTGCTATTTTCGTATTTTAAATCTGCTTACTCTGCAAATCAGAAAAAATATAATTGTCCGCTCAAATTTTTTCACGCTCTGCCTAAAAATTTTGCCTACAAAAAAGTAATGATATTATTATTAATCCGCTTGCCCGCTCGTACTTTTATCATCAAATGTCCGACGAACAAGAAATTAAATTGGTGTGGCCCTATAATAGAATGCTAATTTTATGTACGATGAATTACAATGTAATGTTTAGTTTCTTTTGAAGCATAATGACAATATGGACATATGTTTACAACTAAAAAGTTTCTATTTCTTACAGTACTATCTGACCTAGTCTTACAAGAAAAACTGAAAAATGTTGCAGATATTTCTGCTCTTTAAATAGTTAATAATGAATTACTTAGTAAATCTTATAAACGAATGCAAATCTCTATGACGCGTTTTAGATTGTTAATTTTGAATTAAAAGCAATGATTATCATAGCTGAAAGTTTAGTTCTTTAACTTCTTGAAACACAGATATTGATGAGTGTGCAATAGGTACCCAAACCTGTGATCCAAACTCCCGATGTACAGATACCATTGGTAGTTATATATGTACTTGTGAAACTGGGTTTGCAGGAGATGGACATACTTGTTTAGGTAGGATGTTATTTATTCATTCTTTAAATGAGGATTTGTAAGCTGAAATAAATTGTTAAATTTAGCTGCAAACGTAGTAAGATTTAAAAAGATTTAACTATTCGCTTTTTATTAGATATAAATGAATGTTCGTCGCCGAGCGTCTGTGATCCAAATTCTAAATGTAACAATACCTTTGGAAGCTTTGAGTGTATATGTGATCCTGGGTTTATTGGAAATGGAAAAAACTGCACAGGTGTGTATTTCCTTCTTCATTTTTAGGTTCTATTAATACGATTATGCCTAAATTAATGATAAGCTGTTTTCCGTGCTCAGAATTCTTATATATATTCAAACAAAAGAGTACACCAATAAATCAATTTACCAGGTAATGAAATTTGAACTATCCACAAAATATACTTCATTGACAACAGATAATTATTATGTATCATCAACCGTCCCTAAAAATGATTAAATGGTTGTTTTTGCAATGTTTAATTACCATTTTAATGTGCTTGTCACTTTTAACAATCTTATAGCATTGATATTCCACGTTTTTTGTTTGATTTCATAAAGACGTAGACGAGTGTTTGGGTGGTGTATCAGGTTGTCATTTTCATGCTGTTTGTAAAAACACAATGGGAAGTTTTCTCTGTGAGTGTAATGACGGTTTTGAAGGCGATGGAAAAACATGCAAAGGTAACAAATTATGCCCTTTATTATATGTTTTCTCTTCAATTAAATATTCTGAAAGATTATTTCAAATGTTTTATCTTTGTTGCTGTACCAGATATTGACGAATGTTCACGAAACATGTCTTCATGTGATACGCATGCGCTCTGTAACAACACTAATGGTGGGTACACATGTACCTGTCAACCAGGATTTCATGGCGATGGCCTTACCTGCTCAGGTATCATATAATGCCTCAGATACATTTTAACAATGATGTACCTAAACGATTTATTTTCATATTCAGACTATTTTTTTGTTTGTCCTTTTAATAATCCCTTCGGTGTTAATTTTCCTATAGAAAATGATGAATGTGAGGAGAAAACTCACAGTTGTCATCCCAATGCCTCATGTATCAACACATTTGGGAACTACTACTGCGAATGTAAACCAGGTTTCTTAGGTAGTGGAAGAACCTGTAGCGGTAAGTTTTAAATGTTTTTGAAAAAAACATTTATGATAAACTGTACAATGAATACTGTTTGTAGGTCTATATTGTTATCGGGGGAAAATATTTTTTTAACTTAGATGTCAATGAATGCTCTGATGGCACCAGTGGCTGTCATCTAAATGCTACTTGTCACAACACTGTGGGCAACTTCTCCTGTACGTGTGACAGTGGTTTCTTTGGAGACGGCTTCTATTGTAAAGGTCAGTATTTATGTTCTCTTTGCATTGATAAACATTTCGATTCTTAATATATATATATATATATATATATATATATATATATATATATATATATATTGTGATTTATTCAACGTTCAACGATGTCTTTTTAATTATTGAAATTGTTGTGTTACTTCAGAATGCTTTGATATGACGTTTGGTGTTAGCTGCAAGAGCCAGTGCTTGTGTAATATCAGCAACACAAGGTCATGTGATAAAGTGACAGGGGCCTGTTTATGTAAAAATGGTTGGCGAGGAGAGACCTGTAATGAAGATATCCCTGAATGCACAGAAAGACTGGAAATATGTGGACCAAACGCTCTATGCACAGAACTACCCGGGCACTTCAACTGCTCATGCCTGAAGGGATATCAATTTATGCCAAATCGTCTCTGTGAAAGTAAAAAAAAAGTTGTATCTTAAATTGCTCGATAGATTAAAACAATTTTTAGTAATTATGAAACCAAAACATTTGCAATGGTATTCCTGTTTTTTTTTTTATTTAAGATATTGATGAATGTTATACCCAGCAACAAAACTGCCACACCAATGCTCAATGCAATGACACTGATGGGCATTTTATTTGTACTTGTAAACCCGGATTTACTGGAAATGGAACGTTTTGCAGAGGTATGTTTGTTTTTTATCTGCTCGTATGTACATTTAGACATTAAATCATAGCAAATAGTATCTATAATAGTAAATTGTCTAAAAAGAAAAAAATATTGAGTTAACAATGAATGCAGTCAAATCAATAATATTTTTGTCTTTTTTTCTTCATTTTTTCTTAGCAATACCTAAGGAACCTAGCATCCTTGGTAAATATTAAAGATCATAATACATTTTATGCTGAAAGCAGACTCTGTAGAATACTAATATTTGATAAAATAGATAACAGTGTTTTTTATTATTCTCAAGTTCTGAAACATTTCAGACCATTTATTCGACATTTCTCTTAAAACAGATGCCAAAGAAGACAAATATAGGATAAAAGTTAGGTTTGATATACAGACCGATCTAAATACTCTGGAAAATCAGTATGTCCAGGTATACCAACAGATGACCACAGCGGTAAGTCTTAATAAGGCTAACTAAACCCAGACAAAAAGACTATAAACAATTCATTTGAATTAGACTGTATTTTATTACTTTTTTTGCAGCTTACCTCGTTTTATCAAGCGACCATAACTGGATTTGAGAGAGTGATCATTCTTCACATAAGGTAAATTCAATTTTCTTTTCGCATAGTGTGTTCACAGTTTACTTATTTGTACTTAGAAGTTTTACTCTTAGGAAGATAAAACAATGAGGATTGATAATCTGTTTGTACTGCAGCATTGGAAGTCTTATAGTTGATCACGAGTTGGTGACAGAAAAGGCAACTTCTAGTGTACCAAAGGCGGACATTACAAAAGCCTTACAACGTCTATCTAATGGAGATGTCAAGATTGTGTATGATGGCAGAGAACAAACAATTCTGTCTCTGGAATTGAAAAATGCTGAAACAAACAAATTTGGTGTGTTCAGCTTGAAATCTTAGAGACCTTTAGATTGATAAAACATAACTTCTTTATAAATACCTTACAGAGTGAAAATATTGTTTATATTGTACAACTTGTTTGTAAAAATGGATTCTGAAATTTTTTTTTTTTTTTTGTCATTATAGTTAATGTCAGCTCCTTGGGGTTATGCAATATCTATCAAGCCGTACAGCCGTGCCCCAAGAGTCATGCATGCTCCGAAACAAACGGAAATATCGCCTGCAGGTATATGTTTATTTTTCTCACAAAGTCAACCTTATTTAGTCTCTTATCATTTTTGAAATAAAGTATCAATCTGAATTACACTTATTTTGTTTTATATGCAATCCACTCTTTGCATTACAGCCCATTGCCTATATCTGGTAAGAGAAGTAACTATTTCGTGACTACTTATGTTAAGTTATTGCTTTTTATATAACATTATTTGAATCCAGATTATGTTTGATGGAAAATTTGGTGCAACGTTTTACATACTTTCGGTAACGAAGGGAAAAAAAAGATCATGATAGCTATTTTTTACCAAGGTTAAAATAAATATACTAATCAATTGGCCAATTTTACAGAAACTTACAAGTTGATAGTGGGGCTGGGGATAGGTATTTCGTTTGGAGTTATTGTTCTTTTGGTACTTGTCATCGTCTTGGTTTACCTGAAGAGAAGACGTGATACAAGTAAAGGAGAGCCTATTCCAGACTACGATAATAGATCCGTGAAAAGGTGAAAATTTGCCATACGACTTAAGCCTGCAGATTGACAAAAAGGATAAGATTGACAATCTATTAGAAAGTTTAATTAGTAATCATTAGTTTTTTTAAATGAAATTTCAGTCAATTTTTTTCATTTGAAATCTTAACTTATCAAAGGAATTCTTGTCCTTTATTTATTTGATGTTTTATTTACAGCGGTAGCACCGATGATTCCTTGATACATTCATCAATAAAAGGAATGACAAAACGCTTGGACACAACAGGGAAGCGCGGACCTTTCAGTTTTGGAAATGATTCCTGGAGCAGTGTCAGCGACACCAGTGTCAAGGCTGTCAAATCGTCCTCGAATTCTTTCCGCAGAAGTAGTAAGTTTCATTTCATTCATAAATCATCGTAGACTTAGTGTCAAACTCTTCTGAATATTTACATCTTATCTCACCTGTGTCCTCGAGAAGCATACTGTAGATTCCTAAATACACGCGAGGAATTAATTATTAAGAAGCACCACTCGCGAAATAAAATTACTTATTTCAATAATACTTTGAATATACTATTATCGGTTATAGGGAGTTCAGATAAATTACAATGTCTGTTCAACGAACGAAGAAATCTACTTAAGTGGAGATCAATGCTGTAAAATCGGGGTGTGATCATTAATTAAAATAAATCGAGAAAAAAGTGAATTCTTCCTTGCATACTGTAGGTATTTTTTTTTCATATCAAGGCCCCTTGGTCAAAACGAACTACGTAGCGCTGGGGATGTGGGTGTGAGGTGTGTAAAAATTTACGTTTGAAACAAATTAGAAAAAAGTTTCTCACAGCAGTGTTCCAGTTAGTTACATTGCAATGTTGGATAGAATCAGGTTCGTTGAAATTATGGCCCCGTGACTTGGTTATGATCGCTGTAGGTGGCCGAGATTAAGAAATACTAGTAAGAGAAAACACCTTTAGTTAATTCTGTTTTCCTGAAGAACACCAGGGTCAATTTTGTTCAACGACAAACATCACATAGAGTCGGTTTTGCATAATGAAAAACATTTTGATACAGCAATAATCCAATTTTTATAAGTACTCGTCTAAGGAAGGAAAATCTTTCATTTCTTAAATGAGTACACAAGCACCCTTTAGTACCGCAGATTCACAATAATCTACCGCGGAATGACCATACATTAATATACTTCATAATTACAGCTTTATCAGGGGCAAGAATTAATTAAGATCGTTTGCTAGGAAATGTGACTAAATCATACACTGATTGTAGTAATTGACGTTGTCTCTTCTTTCCAATTTTTCTACATATACAGTGTACAAAGAATTCTCCACTAGATAAATCTGTTTTTCTTTCCCCCTCTCAAGATCTATAAGTGTCATTATAGTTATATTAAGTGCCAAAAAAAAAATCAAAATATTAAATTTATTATTGAATACTTGTATTAAGGAAAGATCTGTATTTTGTTTACACAGATTATAACATGTAAGAAAAGACTGTGAAGATAATTATGCCTGCCACTCAGACTCGCTGCCTTGAATACATGTATATACCCGGTGTCTGTTTAATTGTATTTCTGTAAATCTGGTTTACTTTGTTTTCTTCTTTATTCATTTTTTGTCATTAAGTTTCATAAGGTAAAATCTTCCATTTTATATGCATTTGTGATTACTTTCAATTTAACCTCCTGATATGTAAGAATTGCTTATAAAATAATATGCTTTTATATATTGTATAATTGTGCTTGCACACGTTTCATTAAAATTTAATAAAAACCTATGTGTATTAATTATATTATGAAAAATACATTATGTATTATCGTGTATTTGTTCTATATTATACTTCATGTGTAGAACTGTCTGTTGTTCATTATAGTTACTAGAGTGGAATGTTCATGATATGCAAGTATACATTGTGAAGACTCTGTCTGTATTTCTGTATTGGTGAATCACTTTGACCTTGCAAATACATTATATATTCTAAAGCATGTATCTAAACTTTGATCCGTTTTTATATCGTAATAAACTTTGATCATTAAGAATACGTCTAGATTTCTTTTTTTAACATGTAATGACTCTGATAACCTATTGCGGTCAGAATACCCTAATCGCTGAAACTTCTGAAAATCTTAGGGATTTATACTCGGATGGCAAAAGAATTCCACTGATGGCAATAAAACAAGCTTTGTGTATTGTAGACCTATGATCATGTTGCTATTTTCCACTTTTAAATAAGTAGGTCAATGACCTACTTTTCATGCTGGAGACCCCTGAGTATTTCCCCCTTTCACATGCTTAAAAGTTTGCGTTATGATCAAGACTTTCATTCTCATCAAAATATAACAAGTAATGGAACGCTTTCATAATGAAGTAAAGGGTAGTGTTACTAAATGAAATGAACGATTAGAATTTGGGCAATAAACATGTTTAAACAATTCTATCAAATATTACATTTAATACAAAAGCAGGGGATTCATACATCAATTTTTCATGTATGTCTTCGGGTGATAACGTAATGTCTTTAAATTCGATACCTATCTCAAATGTTTCTGAGAACGATGAAGCGTCATTTGGAACGTCAGTTTTTTTTAACGTCATTTAAATATTTTCTTAAACTTTGATTGCCTGTATCTCGGTAATTATTCTGAATATTTAAAAATCAAACTTCATACATGTATTTGGTTATTTTACACTATAATCTATCATAATCCATTGAAAAGTGAATTTTGATAATTTCTACCTTTAGCTAGGCTTAAGGGCCCTTTTTATTGCAAAATATTTTAATTTATTTATCGTCGTACCATTTCTTTTCCAAAGGAAATGGAATATTTATGATTATTATTTTTTTACGTATCATTTTGCTGATTATCATATCTCAATGAAATGCTGTATCAAATCAATATGTTTCAAAAACAAAGTTATTATCTATCCTTTAACCTATTTACCAAAAACAAAAACATCAATGTTTTTGTGTGTGCCGGGGAGAAGGGGGGGGGGGTTAAACTGGCATTTTTTAAGCATATATTGGAATAAAAAATGAAATAAGTAAAAATGTTAAAAACAGGGTTTTTCAATCCTTAACACCAAGAAAAAAAGGACTTTTCTGAGCACAAAAGGCCCTCTCCGAATACAGTCCTTTACAAGTCCCTTTCATCCTAATGTCCTAAAGCGGATTCATTGGAGATGGCCACCATATCCATCTCAACGATATCTAATTCAATCGGGATTGGTTCATATTTGTATATAAGTAATGTTTCTTGAATTTCACATTTCAGTCTTCATGACATTTTTAGTTAGATATTGAATTTCACATTTCAGTCTTATGACATTTTTAGTTAGATATTTCTATAATGCATCAATTAACAGGAAAGTTTAAACTCTAAAATCTCTTATTTGCCAGCCAATTGTTTTTCTGGGCATGTTTCACATATTGTTTAATAAATGTCAATAGTATTGAGGACATATTACATCCGCATAAAATACAAAACATACTGACATATATATAATCGAACGCTGGGTCAATTTGAAGGGTTTTGAAAAGTTTGTCTCAAGGATGACGTTCACTCAGGGTTTTAGTTGACAGAAATGGAATGCTATATAGTACAATATGTTAAATCAAAAATTGTTCTTTGTGGACAAAATAACCATTTTATAACTTAATATCAATTTAAAAATGTCATACTTTATTATTGAAGAAAAATATGCAAGAACAAAAGCAAATTTATGGTGATGCAGAGTTAATTCGGACTAAATTTCAATTTTTTTTTCATTTTTTTTCACATTTTTTTTCCATTGCAATATTTTTCTTATAGTTAAGATTCATTGTGTTTTTTAACACCAGTTTGCAAATACGAGGGTTGTCCGGTAAAATCGTGGACAAAGCGTTTTTCTCGAAAAATAATGGGCGCACTAAGCTGAAATTTTCAGCAAATGTTTATTCATCATATTTAAGTGCATCTTAATTTTTTTTGATAAAATATAGACAAAAATAAGGATTTTATTATGCTTGAATGTGCACAGGGTACGGTCCTACGGCGCACGATAAAAAAAAAACCCAGTTTCATTAGCGAATACACGAGTATTATTTTGAAATAAAAGTAATAAATAGATAAGGTTTGGGTAAAAATTATCCTATTTTTATTCCACCATCTATTATTTCGTCTTTTGTAAAATATCAAAGCATTTGTTTAATTTTTGGCAGTTTCCCGAGCATTTGAAATGGGAAAGTGGTCCGTATGTTTTGTTCTACCCGCGGACCCGATCAAAAAGATTCCTCTTAGAAAACTCCAATTTCACTTGTATACTAAAGATCTAGTGATATTTTTATATTTTTTTTTCCTTCTGTAGTCATTTAAAGTTTCTTAGGGCGTCATTACTACATCTAAATCAAGCTGAACTGTTCTCCGGTGCGCCGTAACGTCACCAAACGTCGCCATTTTTTGTGTGTTGCATTGACAAACAGCTACTGACAATAGCAAAAGACGATGTCACTGTAGACACACCAGTTATGGACAGTACTCTCACTATCATTCAACTAAATAGGCTATCTTATATTGACGGTGTGTTCCCCGAACGTCTACTGGACTAAACCAACATCTAATTATCACACTCAATTAAGGGGCCCTCTAAGGGGTACAGGTAGTCTACAATCATTTATGAAATAGCTTTACCTGTATTTTTTGAAGGGGGCATTCTACAGCAACAATAATTTTTGGATCTTTAAGGCATCTCTTCTGAAACATGATTTCAGCATGGAAAGATTGATAAAAGATATTTATTGTTTTACATGATTTTTTTCAGGGGAAATGTAAAAATCTTGATGATTTTATCCATTAGTTTTAAAAAATATGCTTTAAAAATGTTTTTTATTTTCATAAATAATTTTTTTAGCAAAAATTTTAAAAAGCTTATCTGATTTTTCTTGACATTTCTTTTTTTTATTAAATATTTATATTACATGTATGCATTTATTTAGGGCAAACTTTAAACTCTAAAGGATCTTATTTGCAATCAAACAAACTTTTCATTTTCTCCTTAAAAAGCCACCAAAATTCATAAAAAATTAATTTAAACTAATATCAATCTTTCCATACTTAAGTCATATTGTAGAGGAGATATCTTAAAGATCAGTTAAATAAAATATCCATGAACATGTAAGTAGCATTCTTTCTTAAACAGGAAAACTCGCTAGATCATATCATTTTTCTTATATATTATTAAATGAGTTAAATAAATTTTGCTTTAGATACTTTTAATTTAATTTAGTTTTAATCACCGTTTCAAACCATTAATTTTAAATATTATAACATGTTAATATGTGATGTAAGTGATGCTTCAAGTGCCAACTGTTAGGTTAAAGAAAGTTATGTTTGAAAATAATTCATAACATGCTATTTGTTAATTTAAATGTGTTGTGAAGTTATGTTTCTTTTTCGTATTTTAAATAAAAATATTTATTACATGTACATGTATATGAAAAAATATTTATTCACTGCCTTCAATTATGGCAAGTATTTAATCAATAAATCTGTGTCTTTAGTACACAATTTTATCAGTAAATATTAAATCATTTAATTTTGTCTAGTTTGTTAAATTAAGGTAACACAGGTAAACTCTACCTGGACCCCTTAGAGGGCCTCTAAATTGAGTGTGATAATTAAATAGTTGTTTAAGCGAGTAGACGTTAGGGGAATAAACCTCATAACTTACAAATAAATCTTCAGAAGGTCCCCTGTGTGTGCGAGATTGGTTCCTCGACTGTTTATGGAGAAATAAAGGGAAAATCAAGTATGTGCATTAATGAAATCCCCGAATTTAAGTGGGGCTTTCCAACTTTTATTAAGCAAAGAGGAAACGTGACGCTGCTTTAGACACTTTGACGTTATCATCCGTGCGCCGTAAGGCGATAACACGCATAACATAAAGTCTCATATTTTGTTTATTTGAGCAGATATCTATTTGAAATTCACTATATTGATGAAAAATGTACTAAAAAGTAGTGAAAGTTTTAGAACGCAGTGATGATTATTTTTCATTCTAGACAACTTGTCCACGATTTTACCGGACAACGCTCGTATTATGTGTGTTAAAGGTCATGTATTATTTCAAATAACTGAATGGCATGCAATGAAGAATTTCAAAAATATGGACCAAAACCAATCCAGACAACATCTCTCAAGAATTCGATCATTGACTTCTTTTAATTTTAATATCAGCATAATAAGGGCAATATAAGTTAACTGCGGTTATAAATAGTTTAGAATCATTATGTAGATTTAATTTTAAAAATGGGTAAAAATTAGAAAATTAACAATTGAAATTCGGACTGAAATAATTAAGAAGTTTATTGTTCAAACTCTAACTGTTTACTTATATTTAGCAAAACTATTTCATGTATGTTATATTTCATTATCCAAAGAGCTTAGTTACTTGTTATATTTTGTAAATTAAAAAAAAAATTGGTCATAGTGTAATGAATTGAGGTATTTTCCAACAAATACTTAGGGGCCACTAGCCTGAAAAGTAGGTCATTGACCTAGTTATTTGAAAGTAATAAAATCACT